GTTCACTGGTGAGGGGAGGGCAGAACGGCGTCTGCGAAAATCCACCACCATCTCCTTGGTTTTCCCTGCGTTGATCAGGAGGTGGTTTCGCTGACACCAGTCCACAAAGTTCTCCGTCAGTCCTCTGTACTCTGTGTCGTCATCGTCTCTGATGAGGCCAACAATCGCAGAGTCGTCGGAGAACTTCTGCAGTACACAGCTGTCGGTGTTGTGTCTGAAGTCTGCTATGTAGAGGGTGAAAAGAAAGGGGGCCAGGACAGTCCCCTGGGGAGCACCTGTGCTGCTGGTGAGCAGGTCAGACACACAGTTCCTGTTTCTCACAAACTGTGGACGGTCTGTGAGGTAGTCCAGGATCCATGTAGACAGCTGGTGGTCCACACCCATCCTCTCCAGTTTGTCCCTCAGAAATACCGGCTGGATGGTGTTAAACGCACTGGAGAAGTCAAAAAAGGTGATTCTCACTGTGCTGCCGGGCTTTTCCAGGTGAGAGAGAGCTTGATGTTGCAGGAAGATAACAGCGTCCTCCACTCCAACATTAGGACAGTAGGCAAACTGTAGTGGGTCCATGGAGGGGCCCACCTCGGAGCGGAGATGTCCCAGGATCAGTCTCTCCAGTGTCTTCATCAGGTGGGATGTTAAAGCCACCGGTCTGTAGCTGCTGAGGTCTTTAGGGTGCGATGTTTTAGGCACCGGAACCATGCATGAGGTCTTCCAAATCTGTGGTACCACTCTCAGCTCAAGGCTCAGGTTGAAGACATGCTTCATAACTCCAGACAGTTTGTTTGCACAGGACTTAAGGAGCCTGGAGCTGATACCATCCAGTCCAGCTGCTTTCCTCGCTTTCATCCTCCCAAGCTCTTTTCTCACCTGGTCTGCTGTGAAGGACAGGGGTGGGGGATGAGTGGCTCCATCTTGGTGTGAAGTGGTTGTATCGTCTGATGAGCCAGAGGTGTGAGGGGCTGAGTGAGGAGGGCATAAGCCAGGTGTCAGCAAGTGAGGGACCGGCTGCAATCAAACCTATTGAAATGTAGATTTAGATCGTTGACCCACTGTCGATCCTCCTCAACTTGTACATGGGGTGTTTTGTAGCCCGAAATGGTTTCCGGGCTTGTCCACACCCGTCTAATGTTCTGCCGCTGCAGCTGCTCCTCCATCTACCTCCTGTAGCTGGCCTTTCCCTCCCTGATCTTCCTTCTCAGCTCCTTCTGTTCGGTCCTCAGCTCATCCTTATTCCCTGATCTGAAGGCTCTCTTCTTCTTCTCCTTCAGCAGAGCTTTAATATCAGGGTGTGAGCCAGGTCTCCGTGAAAAGAAGGATGCTGCTCTCTCTGTATCTGGTATCGTGTTAGCGCGGCCAGCTCGTCCGTCTTGTTGGGTAGAGATCTCACGTTTCCCATGGTGACGGAGGGAAGAACAGGTCTGAAGCGTCTCTTCTTTTCTCAACGTTGTTTTCCTGTGCAGCATCCACGGCGGTTGTTACGAAGTATCTCCGGGGGGATCTCGTGTCTGTCCCGAGGGAACACTACAGCGCTACGCAGTGCGATCAGCTGGTCCCTCCTGTAAACAAAGTACACGCGGGCCGCTTCATGCATTGATACACCGGACGGTCTGGATATTGTTAAAAATAAGGACCCCCAAAAACAACAAAAGTGCGGTGCTGTCTTAAAAAGTATATACAAAGTAATTTCCACAAAAAGGGAAGCAAAAAGTGAAATAAATTAGAAAAAAAGAAAGATCGAGTAAGAGCTGTTGCAAGTAGCTGCCGGCTCCGACCGGCGCCGGAAGCTACGTAGCACCTAGCTAAGCCCTGTTGCAGACCATGTGCACTCTCTTTGGAAACGGTGTTCCCTGATGGCAGTGGCCTCGTTCAGCAGCCTAACCCTTTGAGATATATTTATTAAAAATGAATGAAATCACTTGATAGCTGAAGAGTTAACATCCAGTTGTGTGACTTTCTGAATGAGAAAGAACTGACTGCAGAGTGTTAAAAGCAGAGCTAGAATGTATTTAAATTCTAGTATTCATATTATTATTACATTGTTCATAGCTGTCATGAACCTGCTATAGGATTATGACAAAGAAGGGAGACCACACAGGGAGTTAAATGTTTTAAGCAAAAATAAGTTTTAATTAAACAATATTCACAGTCACAAACCAAAATATGTACATGTGCGTCAGTGAGGTCAGTAGTGTAGTGAGTGAGTGTGTGGATATGGGTGAAGTGTGTGTGGCAAAAGGTAACGCATGTCTCCAAATACCAAAGACTATCCAAAAAACCAAAGACAGCAACCAACCAGGAACCTGCTGAGTGGAAGGAGAGAGAGAGAATGATCACCAATCAGCCATTTTTAAAGAGCAGCACTCAGGACACACCAGGTGAAGCCCATCTGATGGCCACACCCTCTGTCTCCTGGAGAGAAGGGAAAAAGACCCAGACCAACCAGAGGGGGTGGGGTCATCACAGCCAGGTAGCATCAGTTCTTGTTCTGTAGTGATTAAAATCTCCACATATGAAACCGGGCTCCTGGTGTGTGTTATAATTAATCGTTTATACAGTCAGTTCTGTAGCCGGCAGCTCTTGTTGCATTCATGCTGGAAGGCACATAGACTGCACACAGGATTATGTTCCCGAACTCTCTGGGCAGGTAACAGGGTCTTAAAGATCAGCAGGGACGTTCAGTATCAGACCGTCGGACAAAACAAGACTGACAGGTCTCCGTACTGTTACAGTCAGAGGAACATCTGCAGCCTTCTGTTGCCTTTAAAGGTGGAAACGTCCAACATAAATAATAAATAATAGATAATAAATCTGTATCAAACACTGTATGTGTTCATATTGACCTTTAGTAAAGGTCAGAGGTCAGCAGCTGCAGGTCACTGATGGAAAACCTGATCCAGCAGCAGAGCTCGAGTGGATCCACATCAGTTTCTGACTGAAGAGGGTCACTGGTCTATCTTCAGATCTATGATCCTGATCTGGGATGTAGGTGTGTGTGTGTGTGTGTGTGTGTGTGGAGGGGGAGGAGCTACAGTGTGCGCTGCCTGACGTAATGCCTATTTGCATAAAGTTCCCATCAGCCCCCTGTGCTCCTCGAATGGAAGAACAGAGAGCAGAAATTGAAGAGTTGAAAGACAAACAGAGAAGAGAGAAACTCATAAATCCAAAGAACCCCATGCAGGAGGAATATGACAGATTACTGGATCTCTCAACCTCCAAAGACAATACTCTGAAACTGAACAAACAGAAGGAAGAAACGGCCGACTTGATTCTCCTACTTGTGACTCAAAACAGAAAGCATGACAAAAGAATGAATGATTTAGAGGAAACACACAAAGAGGAGCTGGATAAACTTAAAAAAGATCTTTCAGCCCAAAATAAAAGAAAAGAGAAGGAACAAATGGATAAATTAAAGAAAGAACAGGACCAAGAAATTAAAGGTGCACTATGCGACCATGCATGACGTCACTTCTGTTGTCGTTCAAAGTAAAAACCAAACAAAACTGAGCAAGCTCCCCCCCCCCCCGTTGTTTCTGTAACAGTCATGAACGAGCATACTAACACCCCCCAACCATCTTGTCGGTGATTGGCTGCAGAGGTCAGTCGGTCTTTGTCTTCATATTGTTCAGTTTCATGAGATATTGTTGATCTCAGTGTCCCAACAGCAGCCCGGTTTCCTCTACCAGCAGCTGCTGTCAATAACAGATGCTAAAGACATTTCTGTTGACAATCCAATGGACGATAGCCTCATAGCAAGAAGGTTGTGGGTTCAAATCCCAGCTTGGGCAGGATCTTTCTGAGTTTGAATGTTCGACCAATGTCTGTGTGGGTTTCCCCATAATCAAAGCATGTATGTTAGGTGAAGTCTGCAGTTAATATCACTACAGAGGCCTGAACATTGCCACAGCAGTGCTGACTCTGTTCGATATGTGTATAAACTGTAAACACTGACAACAAGATGGTTCAATGACGGTTGTGAGCTGTGTGATGAACATTTGTAATCATATCGTTTTAATGTATTTAATATGTTGTTTTAATATATCTAATAGACTCAAAGAATCAATAATAACATATCTGCTGTCCACTAAAGAGTCTCAGGAAGAAAACCCTCGATACTGAAGGTTTAATACAGAAAGACAAACAGGATGTCAAGATAAACAGATACGTTAGAGCTCAGAGGTGTTTCAGTCGTTGCCCAATTTATGTTCCCGTCTCTAAACCCCCGATTTAAAAGAAAAACTCTTTGTTTTTGTATATACAGCAGACTGTCAACGTTCAGACTACCACAGCACCCTCCTGCATACACTGCTCATAGGCTGACACCTGCTGGGGACTTTATGGAACTGCAGCTGACAGTTGGAGGGAAAATAAAGAGTGTGTGTGTGTGTGTGTGTGTGTGTGTGTGTGTGTGTGTGTGAGGAGGGGGGGGGGAGGAGGAGCTCCAGTGCATGCTGCCTGACGTAACGCCTGTTTGCATAAAGTTCCCATCAGCCCCCTGTGCTCCTCAGCAGAGCGTCCGGGACCCAGACGGGTTGATGTGGGCTCGGTTCAGGTGTTGGTGGATCAGTGTAGGTTCATGTGGGCTCAGTTCGGGTGTTGGTGGGTCAGTGTAGGTTCAGGACTCACTGGTTCCTGTTGTTCTCAGACTCTGAGAGATGTTTCTATAAGGGGGTCTGAGTGGCACCATGAACCCGGACTCTCTCCGGACAGACGCCCTATATCTACCCCGCAGAGACAGGGTTCTGTTGTGTTACTCCGGTAGCACATATACTAAAATTGGAACGATACAGAGAAGATTAGCATGGCCCCTGCGCAAGGATGACACGCAAATTCGTGAAGCGTTCCTCATTTTTGATCTCCAGGAGATAATTCTGGCCCTAAACCCTTTCCCCATTCATTCTCTATGCTGTAATGCGCACTCCGGCCGCTGCCGCCCATTGGCGCTGTAACCACCTCAAACTCCGCCTCGCCTCCTAGACTGTGTTACCAACTCGCTAAATATGGCGACTTTCCAAATCCTCCCGGAGACTGTTTCAGCCGTTAACGGAGTCTTTTACTGCCGTTAACGGAGATTGTTTCAGCCGTTAACGGAGACAGTTTCAGCCGTTAACGGAGACTGTTTCAGCCGTTAACGGAGACAGTTTCAGCCGTTAACGGAGACAGTTTCAGCCGTTAATGGAGACAGTCGCAGCAGAGAGGAGACACACACCACTCCGCGGTCAGGCTGAAAATGAACCGCGCATGCGCATGGCCGCCGCTGTTCCCGCCCAGCGGGGTGTAATGTCTCGTCACTCCCTCGCGCACCAACAGTGACTTCCAGCGACTTTTAAAACAGCCAATAGCAACACGCAGAGCAGAGCAGAGAAGAAGAAGATAGAGCGGAGAAGAAGCAGAGAAGAAGTGAACTCCTCCTGACATTTGGATTTATTGTCTTCAAACTTCAGAAGGTCAGTAACGTTTGTGATAAACACGAGATTAAACATTACTTATATGTTCACGATGTTTGTAGTTTGTCTCTGATTCATTTAAACTACAACACTTGGTTATGTGTTGTAAAATATTTCGTTTAATTTCAAGTCGCGTTTGTGTTTTCTGGCTTCAAAGACAGTTTTAGTCAGTTTAGATAAGTTAGTTATATATATATATAAGTTATATTGTCATTAAAACATTGAGCAGGTAGTTAATATGTAATCGATAATGTTCAGTTTAACTGTTTCAGGGTTTTAATAACTAATAATTCAGAGTAATTTACGTTATTCAACCTGTCTGAACTGGTTTCACTTGAATTGTTTTATATCTTGTTCAAACTGCTTTTATAGTCGCCTTTCTTTACATGGTTTCTTTTCTCTTATATATTGTATTAATGTTTAATTAAATAATATCTTATATATATCTTATATTGTTAGTCATTTTAAAATGTTACTCGATATCATTGTAAATGGGGACCAGCCGAGATATGTTTTAGTTTAAATACCTAAAGCTATATATTAAAGTTATATATTAAAGGTTTATATTAAAGTTATATATTTAAGGTTTATATATTAAAGTTATATATAAAAGCTATATATTTAAGGTTTATATTTCAGCCCATCTGGGGCAGAAATTCAGAATAAAAGTAATAATTTTGTACATTTTGGATCACTTCAGGAAAGCTCAAACACTTATAGGCTAAAATAATTAAATTTATCCTGTTTTATTGTTCTCCAAGGTCAAAAACTTCCCCTTTAGTATGTAATGTTTAATATATACCGTAATTTTCAGACTATAAGCCGCACCTGAATATAAGCCGCAGGTGTTTTAATGTTTAATTATAAATTTGTAAGGGTTCGTGCACAGAGGGGATTGTCGGGAAAGAGATGGCTGCTTGAGGAAGCTCCCATTTATTAACATTTCAACAAACAAGTTGCATATTTGCATAACGTATTCAAGTGTTACCATTTAGTGCAATAGTAGCTACAGAACATATACTGTGCTGTGTAAACTGTACTGTATCACACAGCGTTTCAGACACACAAACTTTTCAACTTTCAAACTCAGTGCACATACTGGCAGTGGTTTTCAACCAGTGGTCCTTGAGGGAGTGCTAGAGGTTCCCCAGCAAAATAGGGGCTACGTGCAGCAGCTCTATTTCCTTCTTTTACAGCCAGATTGACTGCCTTTAACTTAAAAGCTGCATCATATGCATTTCTACGTTTGTTTTCCATAATGAGGGTTTGTGCATGAAAACTTCCTTTGGACAACTGTCTCGCTCTCGTAATGTCTGTCTGTCTTGCTCTCGTACCACTCTCGGTTCCACTTTTACTTTTGCGCGCTACCTGTCTCACTCTTTTCCGGCCTCCAGCTTTTCCTGCTGGAGCCCGCCGCTTAAAGGTGGGGGCGCGGACCGGTCATAGAGCCCATAGAGGTAAAGTTGGTGGACTGTAACCTGTAAAATCCAGCTAGATCAGCCGCACCGTTATATAAGCCGCAGGGTCGAAAAATGGGAAAAAAGGCGCGGCTTATAGTCCGAAAATTATGGTATTTAATAAAAAGTACATGTTTAATGTATACTTGTCCTTCAGGTGGCTGTTGGACAATGATGTAGGCTTTACAATCTACCTCGTCAACACACCCAGAAAGAAGAGGCTGCCAGAGTGAACATGACTGAGGGGCACAGCGAGGCCAGCATGGCATCTTTTGTGGGTTCTGCCCGCAGCTATGATGAAATACAATTAAAACCCAAAGCTGGAGCAGCCTCAGAGGACGAGCAGCTGGTTGGCTTTGGCTGTGGACCAGAGAGCAGCTGGAGGGAGGTGTGGGACAGGAGGGCTGACGGCTACGCTGCCTTCATCATGAGAACTAAGTCTTTTCAGGGACTCAGATGTACAGACTGCAGCAGTAGCTGATAAGGAAACAGTCGGCCTCTGTCTCCTCTTCACCAGTTCCTGCCTCAAGTGCACCTGATGAAGACACCAGTAGGTCTTCTTCATCACATGTAACATATGCTTTTTACCACAATAATGTATGTCTAATGTAGAAATACATTTTTACAGCACTGTAATTCTTTATGTTTGTGTCACAGTGATGGATGATGATGATGAGGAGCTGGAGAGAGCGATGAAGAGCATATCACCCACCAAGGAACTGGCACAGTGTTGTAAGTACATTCTTTCTTCTACTGACTGAACATTCAGAATCACTTTAGTCTCAAACAGTGTTCTTAAACGTGACGTTTGCTGTACTGTTTCATCTGTTTGTGTGTTATTTATGCCATGTGGAAATATTAGTAATACTTCATACATTTACTGATGAATGCTTTTGTCATCCGGTTGTTGTTCTGTCCTTGTAGTCCCACCGTGCCGACAGTGAAGAGACCTGTAACCATTCCTCCTGAGCTGCAGGTTCTGGTGACAGAGGTTGCTCATCCCAACAAACTGAGTTCTTTCAGCGTGAACTTCAGCTAACCGAGCGCAGAGTGGAAGACAGAGCGGAAAAGAAGAGGAAACTGCCGGACCCTCAGCCTCGAGGAACAATGTGTCGTTTCTGTCACACAGAGCTGAAGCAGGGTCCAACCAGCAGACACACACACACAAAAAAAGGATTCCCGGGAGGAAAACACATTCACTGTCCAGCTAAGGTCCTTGCGTCATAAAGACATGACAAAGGAAATTTGAGGCCTCACCGTTCTATGCGATGGAGAAAGAGAGGGTGGACGGCAGAAAGAAAAGGATAGCTGAGGTCTCCAGACTCCATCTGAAGCACAGAAAGTCACACAAGGTCAGCGTCTAACCTCTATCTTGGCGGATGAGTCTAGTGATTGTGTATGGATCAATACTCTGTCTCTTGTCACCAATACACGAGTTTATCGGCAGAGCGGGTCAACCCAAGGAGTCCTCATGTGTCCGGAGCGGAGTCACAAAGGACGAATAAGCCCGGACTGCAAAATGAAAAACTATAGAGCCCTTAGGGTTAGAACTAAAAAGCTAGATGTGACTAATTATTTCAATTCAATATCCTTTACCAGTGTGTTTGAAACTCCAGAGCTTCAGCCACACATTTTAATGTCTTTCATTATTCAGAATGTATGAGACAATATGGGGAAAATTACTTCCTGGTATATTGCTGGCCAGCCGGACGCGTGTCAGGACTAGGGCTGGGCGATGTGGACCAAAAGTCACATCCCGAAATATTTAGGCTGAATATCGATATACGATATATATCCCGATATATTTCCCGAAAAGTGAGAGCAAATGTTCAGTCTCTCTCTCTCTCTCTCTCTCTCTCTCTCTCTCTCCCACACACACGTTGTGAACAGAAGTTAGGCTGCATTATAACTTTTAAATTAATATTTCCAGAAGGCAGTAAGGCTGTTACCACTCACCAAAACTGCTACTGTTATTACACAAGCAAGTACAATTACGTTAAAACAACTTAACGTAAGTTAACGCTGTTACTGAGCTGTACATTAGTTAAGTGTCTGTAATGTTAGTAACATGACATTAATGGTGTTATAAAGATTTGCTGCTTGTAAACAGAACAAGCAACCCATCTCGACTAAAACCACACTCAATAACTCAAAACTGATGGCGCCCTTACTCCCTGTATTACGGTAGACTGATATACTGTACTGCTGTATTGTGAAAGGGTTACGGTACGTACAAGACGTCACCACGCTCCCAGTGAGCGCCAGTTGTTGTTGTTGTGTGAGCCATGCTGATGAGACGGCAGCAAATCGGTCCGCACTTTATTGTTAAATAAATATGCCAAGAGGCTAAAGATAAATTTGAGTATGTTCTACTTATCCTCCATACGCAGTAGAAAACTACACGCTGCAGTTAACCCTTAACAAGCCAACGTTAGCTAGCGTAACGTTACCACGTTGCAGTGCAGAGAGCTCCGGGTCAGCAGTTTGCTTGGAGCAACGATCACAGCGCAAATTTGAACTATATGGATATATGTGATATGGTCTAATTCCATATCACATTTAAAAATATATCGATATATTTTTAATATCGATATATTTTTAATATCGATATATCGCCCAGCCCTGTGAAGGACTACAACAATTCCTCTTGGACAGATGCAAGAAGGAAAAACGCAGAGAAGAAAGGAATTCACTCGTTAAAAACTATGGAACCAGTAGGACTAGAGAAAAAATATAACTAAATGTTAAAATCAATATTTGGGGGAGAGCAGTGAAGGGGAGAGGACCAGGCTTGGCTTCCCTTTTTACTTTAATTTTTTCTCCCCCCTTTCCTCCTCCTCCTTCTCCCTGCTCTCATCCGAATTTCTGCCTTTTCCCGTGCCCTGCCCTTTCGACCTTTTGTTGTGTGTTGTGTGTCCTTTTCACCTCTAACCTCCCCCACTCCTCATCCTGACCCTAACCTCTCCTTCCTTTGCCTAAACCTAAGTTTTTTAACCCCTCAGCCTTGCCAACCCTGGACCTTTGACCCCTAACAGAAGCAGGCCAAGACTCTTACGGACAGGCCTGCTCTACGAATTTTCAAAAAATCAGACATGATTTCCTTTCAAAATGATTTGACAAATTACAGGGATTAAATACATAAATAAGACTAAATAAAAGGTAAAATAATATTTTTTTCATATCTTAATAAATAAATATATAGCTTACCGAATTTTCCGGACTATAAGTCGCCCTTTTTTTCATAGTTTGGCTGGTCCTGCGACTTATATATGAACATCAGCTTCGTCTTCCTCCGGAGTTGGCGGAGATGTTCAGAAGCGACACGGAGGACGAAGAATTTAATGGATGATGAACTTGCTACCGGTAACATGCCTGTTGGACTCGGTGGCGTGTTATGTTAATTTCTGTGTGCTATTGTGTTTCACTTGCATTTCCTGATTGAATGTCTGTTCTTGGTCTTGGATGCTGTAAAATAAATTTCCAAATAAGGTAGCCTCCCAAGTATTTGCTCTGCTGCCGGCGTTTGCCTAGACAATGCTTAAGTCCGTGTACAACTTGCTGTTTGTTTAATTCCTGAGCGTTAGATGGACTATGCTTTAAGTGCCCGACAATCTTGCGACATTTGGCCAGAACACTTTCAAATCCACTGTCTTTAAGTGAGACTGTGACCATTCTTTGCAGACAGTGGGCCATGCAAGGCAGGTGTTTGAATGGAAGTAGCCTCGAGGCAGCAACCATGTTACCAGCACTGTGAGTGCCGAGTGTGGTCAACTTTTCCTTGATATCCCATTCGTTGGCAACATCCAGAAAATGGTTAGCACATGCCTCGGCATAATGTCGCTCCTCGGTTTGACTCACAGTAAGTGCAAAAGACTGCAGAGTCCAGTCTTGATCAATGAAATGCGCTATGACGCCCAAATAATTATCGTTGTTGACAGACGTCCAGTGGTCACCTGTGAGAGCGATGTGCTTTGCTTGTTTGAGCATGTCCGTCCGCTGTGACCTCTCATCCTCATACAATGTGTGTATTCTTGACACGATGGTTCCTCTTGAGGGTAAATTATAAGAGGTATCTCCCGATGCAACACGAATTACTTCTCTCAGTCCATCATCCTCTACTGTGCTAACTGGGCGGCAGTTTTTAACTATCCAAGTAACCAAGGAATTGGTTAACTTTTCACTTACAGGTTTCGTTATTCGCCCACGAGTGCCACACTCCTGTAGTGTAGACTGGCGAGGTCCCGTGGAGGTAATTTCAGCAGGGTGTTTTGCTTTGAGGTGATATGCTCAAGATGTGTTACTTCTGTGGTAATTAAATTCGGCTTTGCAAACTGTGCAAATTGCCTTGGTTTTGTCCAACGAGCCGTCGGGCAACTTTTTAAAAAGAAACTTTCCCCCTAAAAGTCCCACCTTATCCATCTTTCCTCCATAGACTCTCCTTTAGTTAAGATAGATATTTGCCCGGTGACCAAAAGTTCTGGGTCAGCCGCCATCGGAAGTAAACAAAACCCTGTTAATTGCGTTAATTGTTTTTAATGCATTAAATGTTTAAACATAATTGCCAAAATTAACGTGTTAATTTTAACAGCACTAATAAATAGTTACAATTAGTCCTACAACAAATATATTAGAATATATTGCATCTGGCCCTTTAACACGAATATTTAAGAAAATAAAAGTCCACTTAAGACACAGCTCTAATTTTGGAAACTGAATCCCAGCTGCAGTTCGGAGGCGGGTATATAAGGCAGAGACACAGTGCTCATTCTCACTCTGACCACGGAACAGACAACAGCTCTGCCAGTCACAAGCACGAATCTACTTTCTTCATGAATATTCATTTCACTTAGTGTGCCTACGCCTGAGGAAGACCTATAAGGTTGAAACGTTGCGCACAGGCATACATTCATTTTCATTTTCTTTATTTTATCTGTTTAGATCTCCTTAAGAGTCTTCTCAGATAATTAGCTCGGACTGGGGGAAGGACCGTACATTCCCTAACTCTCGTTACACAAGGGAGGGGGCTCAGTTTCACTGCCTCTCCTTCCTCTTCCTCTTCGGTAGCACCGGCGCTGGGGCCAGGGGACGTGACGAGGCTCCTGGAAAACACGCTCGGGTGGAGAAGCCAAGCTACGACGAGGGGGTGTGGGGAGGCGTGTGGGAGGGACAGGAGGAGACGGTGCCGGAGGAGGTGGTGGAGGAGGCGTCACCACCAGGAGCGGGAGACTCTCACCCTGAAGGACCTGTACATCCGCTTCACTGCAACACACAACATAGCTTAACAGGGGAGCAGATGCAGACGGACCAATCAGTGAAAACACACGGGGCTTCTCTGTCATACAGCGTCTGGTCAAACGCTCGATTACACTAACATCCAGTTAGTGAAGCAGGGTCCAACCAGCAGACACACACACACACACACACACACACACACAGGATTCCCGGGAGGAAAACACATTCACTGTCCAGCTAAGGTCCTTGCGTCATAAAGACATGACAAAGGAAATTTGAGGCCTCACCGTTCTATGCGATGGAGAAAGAGAGGGTGGACGGCAGAAAGAAAAAGATAGCTGAGGTCATACATTATCCATCTGTTGTTCTGTTCTTCACATTTTGTCCCAAAGGTCCAGTGTCTAACATTTATTTCTTTATTTATTATTATATTGATTTGTATTGTTTGTGTTATTGTGTTCTTGTTAGAATGAGACGTGTTTATCTACAGAGAGAGAGCGGGTCAGCTTCCATGGAGTTCGCCATGTTCAACCACCGTGTTTCTACAGTAGCCCCAAAGGGACAAACAGAACACTGGCTCTAGATAGAGCCTTTCACATTTCACATGTTTCTGTGCCACCATAGTTTCTGGGGAGGGGGAGGGAGGAGCCAGTGAGTTGCAACTACACCGCTAGATGCCAATAAAGGCTTCACAATGTCCTTTAACATAAACGCAGTTCGACCACGGAGCATTGCATTCTGTGAAATTACAACTGATTAATCTGATTGATTTAGTTGTTTCCTTGTATATATTTATAATTGATTATTGGATATAAAACTGATTGATATGTTGTTTATTCTTGTTTTAGCACTCTCTAAACTGCACTGAAGACACGTGTGGACAGATTTAATAAAACCATGACTTTTAGCACAGAACTTGTTTCACTTGATTTCATCTATAAAGCTCTGGTCAGCTCATTTCCATTATGAATAACAGTATTTACTTCATCTTTGAATGCTAAAGAATAGCAGTCTTTATTACAAATACGAAGCAGGAGTGGGCGCTGCGGGCTGCTCCACATTCCTCTCCTTCCTCTTCCTCTTCCTCGGCGCTGGTGCCAGGGTGGTCTCCCCAGATGGCGTCTCTTCCACGGTGACCCCACGGGGCTCCTCCCTGGTCAACGCCGGAGCCCGAGCCGGAACAGCGAGCGACGGTGGAGCAGCCGCAACTTGACGTGGCGGTGGTGGTGGTGGGGGAGGGATGGAGGACGGTGCCGGAGGAGGTGGAGATGGAGGCGTCACCACCAGCGGGAGCGGGAGAGTCTGAAGGACCTATACGTCAGCTTCAGACACAGTCACACACAACAAAATAGCATCAGCACAATGATAGTCATGGGACAAGACTAAGTGAGTCTGAGTGTTGATGACGTGCAGTATGCCAGTGATTAGGGCAGAAGGTTTAGTGCTACAAGGCCAATGTTAAGAGATGCAGCAGAGCCAGATGGAAGGCGTTTAATCAAATCTACATTACCGCCACATGAGTGAGGATGGCACTACCACCTACAAAGATGGCTATATTACCTGCCAAACCTACCTTGTCCTTCAAGCACAGCGTACACCAGTAAATGAAACAATTACAGTTAATACAAACACACTGACAGAAGAATATATATTGAAGGCAAATGTTACAGTGTGGTGCCAGTTACCTGTTTCTATGTCAGTGGCCATCTGGACCAGTTCCTCGTCCGTCACCTCTGTGGTGTGGGGCGGCGGCGGAACCGAGGGGCGCTGGTCTCTGAAGGATGTAGACACCGCTATGGGGGGGTTGGGCAATGGTTAGTAAATCATGTACACTGAACTGTACTCTGTTGTGTTAAAGAGAAAGAAAGAGATCTACCTCGAACTGCAGGCTGTGCAGGTGTGGTCATCAGCTTCCTGACCTTGGCCTGCAGCTCACCTGGGCCCATGGGACGCCGGCCCAGTAGGGCCGAGAACTTGGAAGCGATCGGCTTGTGTGGCGGCAGCGCGGTGGAAGCAGCGGCCTTGCTGGGGCCACTGCTGGTGGTGGTGGGGGGGTAGCAGCCGCCGCCTCTGCCGACCGCTCCACGCCTCGGCCCAGGATGTACTTGGCCCCTTGGCGGCGATGTAGGCCACCGCCTCACCAGAGGCCCGCAGGAGAAGCTGCTGCGAGGCTGTACATTTCTACAATGACAAGAAATGACACAGCACAGCATTAAAGGAGCATTACAGGTTAAACTACATATTAACTGCTATATTACCAGGAATATCACACATAAGATTAATGATATACTGGTACTACACATTCACTATTGAAACATTACCGTTAACAAACTAACATAATGTGACACAACAGGTAAATAATGAGCCCAGGGTTAGCCCCCTATGCATTGGCAGCCATTAAACAAACAGGCTTATTGTTAATGTATAAAACATAAACTTAAAATTTATCTTTTGATTTCACCTGGTGATATTATAATCTTAAGGACATTAACTGTATAGTCTTTTCATACTTTAATTTTGTTTTCAGAGATCGTAACATGTATATTGTGTATATATTTATAATTGATTATTGGATATAAAACTGATTGATATGTTGTTTATTCTTGTTTTAGCACTCTCTAAACTGCACTGAAGACACGTGTGGACAGATTTAATAAAACAATGACTTTTAGCACAGAACTTGTTTCACTTGATTTCATCTATAAAGCTCTGGTCAGCTCATTTCCATTATGAATAATAGTATTTAATTCATCTTTGAATGCTAAAGAATATCAGTCTTTATGACAAGTATAATTCACTATAATATTACGTATTATATTGATACTATAATTGGGGTGTTCCTCCATAAAATTCTCAATACATGAATACAAACAATTATTACATACTTTAGACTGGAATCATGTAGATTTTAATGTAACTCTCGTCAAATTTTGAATAAATGAGTGAGCGTGATGTATCAAACCAATACCGAGCCAAGCCAAGAGTCCTCATGTGTCCGAGGCGCCGCGGCTCAACTGCACACTTCCCACCAACAGGAGAAACAAGCTCGCTTTGACCAAGACAAAACTTCTACACCGAAAACACGGTACTGTGGAGTCACAAGACGCATAAGCCCGGACTGCAAAATGAAAAACTATAGAGCCCTTAGGGTTAGAATAAAAAAGATGTAACTACTTATTTCAATTCAATATTTACCAGTGTGTTTGAAACTCCATAGCTTCAGCCACACATTTTTATGTCTTTCATTATTCAGAATGTATGATAAGGTAAATCTTAGAGGTTTCTTTGAACCTGACCCTCGTTTGTTGTGGGGATTTAGTGATATCAGGCACCTACTCTAGATACCTAGTCTTCCCTATATTTATTTAATGTCTTAAAGGCAGAAAGAAGCAGGAGAAAGCTTTAAAAAAAGAAAAATTAATTTAAAACAAAAACAATTAAGACAACTATATAGATATATATTGGAATTTCCCCATTGTGGGACAAATAAAGGAATATCTTATATAAGACACAATATTTATTTAACACACAATTGACAAACTCAATACACTATCCACACAATATTTACAAATCCCTCCCTCCCAAACACACACACACACACACACACACAGTGTTTGCTCAGGGAGGGGGGGCTGCCCCATCACGCCTCTTCACCTCTGCCAGCCACTGCTCCACAGTTCCCCCTTTCCCGTCGGCCCGGGAGCAGAAGGTCTCCTTCTTGTAGCGGCTGTGGCCAAACGCCCGCGTCTTCGGTTGGCCACAGCGCCTGCAGTTGAAGTGGGACACCTTCTTTGCTGGTTTCAGATATTGTCCCAGCTCCCGGGCACGATGATCTTTCTCCTCCCGGAGCTTGCGCCTCCAGGCAGTGTTTCTAGGCACGGGTGGAGCAGTGGCAGCTGTGGCTGTGGAGGGGGTGACACCTGCCTCTGCGCTGGTGCTGGTGGACAGGACGGCGTCCGCGCTGGCGCTGGTGGACGGGACGGCGTCCGCGCTGGTGCTGGTGGACGGGACGGTGTCCGCGCTGGCGCTGGTGGACGGGACGGCGTCCGCGCTGGCACTGGTGGAGGCTTGTGGGGTGGCTGAGGAAGAGGAGGAGGAGGAGGTGGCAGTGGAGGAGCTGGCGACGATGAGGTCATATAGCTCCGGGGCCAGCGGCCCTCTGATGGTGGCAGCCAGACCAAAAGCGTCCGCGGGCAGGCGGTGCTGGAGGACAGTCCGTGGGGCAGGCAGGGGCTCCGCTGCAGTCTGGGGAGCGCTGGGTCCCGGGACTGCAATGGCGATGGTGTCCCTCATCATCGCCTTGCTCCTCTGGTTGTGCCTTAAAAAACAGAATGTAACAAATGCACATTAGTAATCATGACATCACACACACACACTCACACACACACACACACACACACACACACACACACAATGCCACTTCAGATCAGATGTGAGAGAAAGGATCAGGTCTTACCATTGCGTCAGGGTCCGCTGATTGACTTCATACAGCTGGATGCGGGTGCTCGTCATGAGGGATGCACAACTATAAACATTCTCCCGAATTGTTTTATAGTCCCTCATGACGGCACTCCAGTGATGAATGCGGACCCCGGCAATCGTCCTCCCCTCGCCGCAGTGGAGGATGCTGAGGTCCAGCAGGACAGCCTCGACAAGCCTCGAGACATCGGGAGACTGCGCCGCTCCCGCCCCCTTGCCCAGGACCGCACTACATTGACACGGAGAGAGAGAAAGAGAGAGAGTGAGTGAGTTAGTTAGTGACTGACAGCACAGAACAAGAACCAAACAAAGCTTGGAAATTTATTGTGACTGCTTACCGCTTCACACTATCCACCCCTGGCGTGTGAGCGTGCCGCTGGGTGGTCCTGAATCGGCCCTGGACGAGCCGGTCCTGGTGACGGGGGGGGGATTTGACCGCCGCCTTGTCCCAGTCACTCAACTTCAGCCAGAGAGCGGTGACCTCTCTGGCTTGCCTGGGAGTGACGTAGCGGCGGTGGCGCAGTTCCACAAGGGCCTGGGCCAGGGCCACGACGTGCTGGTAGCCACTGCGACCGTCTGGCCCGATAACCTCCTCCTCCACAGCCTGCTGCACCTCCATTTGGTCCAAGCGGGGGGGGTGGGTGAGGTTTGAGGACTGAAGGAGAGCGCTGTGGTGTTCCAGGAGACGAATCTCCTCCGGCTCCTCCTCCTCCTCCTCCTCAAACCATTCAGCACTGCCCCCCCCCCGCTTCCTCCTCATCAGTCCCTGGAGCGTCAGTATCATCCAGGTCCTGCTGCAGCACAGCGCCCGTCTGGCAGAACAGGTACTCCACCCCAATGAGTTCCCCTGTGGGCGCACACACACACACACAGATGTTAAATGACAGACACCTAAGACAGGTGTTAAACGTTACCGTTACCAGATTTATGACTTACCTGTGTACTCCCTGGTCATGGTGTAAGTGTCGACCAGCGTGAGCCCAAGAAGCTCTTGGGTCAGCTGGTCGAAGCTGTCTCTCTCCTCCCTCGACTGCCGCCCTGCCTCGATTCTCGTTCCACCGCACCAGGCCCTCCAGCAGGTACACCTGAAAGTGTACATCACTTGCAGATTGCCCTAAGCAGAAACAAAGCAACACAGTTAGTGTGAGGACAAATAAACACACAAATACATAATTGAGTCTGTGTTGTAAACCACACATGTACTTACCTGGGATGAAGCGGCACAGGTGCAGGTGGAACGATTCCAGGGAAGTGGAGCCTCGTCCGCACCGGTAGACGGGGAGCCTCACCCCGCCTTTGGTGAGCTCTCCCGTCTTGGTGTAGAGGTCCACTCCCGCAGGATCCTGTATGCAGTCGAGGTGCTGGCGCTGTGTGGTCCAGATCTCCTCCATGCGGGCGCGGTCGATCAAAGGGACGCCCATGCTGTCCGTCACGTGCCAGAAGGTGTCCAGCACCTCTTGGACCAGCCGCTCCGTCTCCACTGCACCCCTGGTGCGGCGCCGGCAGTGACGGGCGAGCTCCTTGGCGGACAGCTTGACCTCCTGGGCGTCCCTCCCCTCCTCGGACTGCTTGGCTCCTCTCAGTCGGGACACGTCTTCGGCGTCCCACTCAAAAATGGCGAAGGAGAGCCTCGCCATGAAGAGGCCGTAGAGCTGGTGGCTGTCGGTGGTCACCCCTCTGGCGAAACGCCGCATGAGGTGCCACACGTCGAGCCTGACGACCAGCTCGTGCCACTCGTGGAACAGCTTGGATGTTTGACACTGTCCCACGGTGGCACAGCAGTCCCGGTCCACGTACAGGACCTTTGGAGGGGCCTTCCCGGCTTTGTGGTACCGCCACATCAGTCCGGCCGCCATGTCGACAAGTCTGTCCCCCTCAGCTGTGGTGAGGACGGACATGAGCACCTGCCCGTACTCATTGCCGACGTTTGTGACCCAGACGGCCGTCCCGGCAGCACCGCCCGCAAGCTTTTTGGTGATCTGTGTGACACAGCAACACAACAACATTCAGACACATGAGAAAACAAACATTACACTGGGTACACGGCACGCTGTGGCGGATAACAAAACCTACCTTCTTGGTGGAGTCCATCTTCAAAAGATCACCAAAGATGGAAGTGACTCTGGCTCTCGTCTCGTCGAGCCTCGTCAAGGCCTCCCTGACGTAGACGTTGATGAGCCAGAGCACTGTGGGCACCGGGTGCATGGTTGGGAGCACCGCCGCCGCCAGCAACGGCGCAGCGCCCGGTGCCCGAAGCTTGCGGAGCACGGAAAGGTACAGCATCGACCGCGCCATCCACTCTCTGGTGTGCTGCTCCACGAGAGAGGCACGGAGGCGAGACGCACTGTTGCCAAGAGTGCGCTCCCTCATGAGCCCGATCACCGCTCTGTCGCAGGCCAACCTGGGAGGGGAAAGAGGTGATCAGAGGTTACTGGAGAAAACCACAGAAATACATTACTGTTGCTGTTACTGTTTACATTACTTACTTGTACGTGAGAACCGCTGGAAACTGCTCACGATGGGCCATGTCCAGCTGTCCCAAGATGTCCTGCGACCATCCCGGCATCTTCTTGTGACAGGAGCTGCATTCCAGGTACTCCGTGCCCATGAAGTACCAGCAGCTCCTGTCCAAGACCCTCCTCACCGTCTTATAGAGGCCAGCTCCCGCAAGCTTGCCCCCACAGGCGACGATGGGGCAGCGGAGGTGGTACGCCCACATCCTGTATGGTACCCACAGGAAAAAGGGCCTCTGAAAAAAGGGGTGGGCTGTGGCGGGTGGCTGGCTGTAGAGGGGCCGGGCACCTGGTGGGTGCCACCACAGGCGGAGTTCAGATGTGAGGACACCCTGCCCGTTGGGTGCCCTCCTGAACAGTGCCTGGCCCACCCAGTCGTGCTGCTCCTCGGGGAGCGTCAGCCTCCAGCCACGTGGTAGCAGCTGAAACACACAGCAGTGTCAAACCGTTAGTGTACTGAACCGAAGGTAACACAGACACACACACACTACAACACAATATGTCATCGCTGAGCATACCTGTGCGCCGGGGCCTGACCTCTCCCCACAGGTGTTGTCCTGAAGGGGACGTTCCGGTGGCTGGGAGAGAGAGAAGGGGGGCACGGCTGGTGGGGCATCTCTGCACGGGTCGACCTCCATGGCGGCAGCAAGCAGGTTGGCATCTGAGGGTCCATCCTCGGGACCAACGGCGTCCAGGGGTGGTTGTGCTGCCCGGGCTGCCTTCCGAGCTGCCACCAGGGCGGCCTTCTCTGCATCCCGGGCCTGCACGTATTTTTTGAAGTCCACCAACCTGGACGCTTTGGCTGTGGGTGCCGCCTGCCTCACAAACTGAACATAGCTAAAAAGAGAACAGAAGTGCAATGGGTAAAAAAGTCACACACACACACACACAGACACACACAGACACAGACACACACACACACACAGACAGACACACACACACAGACAGACACAGACACACACACACACACACAGACACACACACACACAGACACACACAGACACAGACACACACACAGACAGACACAGACACAGACACACACAGACACACACAGACAGACACAGACACACACAGACACAGACACACACACAGACACACACACAGACACACACACAGACACACACACACACACACACACAGACACACACACAGACACAGACACACACAACAAACAAACAACTTACCTTGCCCGCTCACGGTCCGTCGACTCGTACAGGGTCTTGTAGGTCAGGTCACCATGAACACCGAACCCCACCAGCGTGTCGTCCAGGCCCCTCATGGTCTGGGGACTGCCCTCGAGCATCCTACGCCTGTCGATGGCTGCCACCATCGGCGGGAACAGCCTGGCGTAGGAGACGAGGGCGTCTTTGTGCACCATGAGGGCATTCTGCTGACTAGTGCCCCCTTTGTCTCTCTCTCCCTCGTGGGACACACAGATGGTGACTGCGTATCCCACGTCATTCTCCAGCAGCCACCGGAACGTCTGACCACGGTACTGGCCGAGCTGCAGCTCGCTCTCAGCCAGCACCTGATGGTGATCGGTGGGGTCGCCTCCCTTCATCTTCACCCTGTCCACTGCCTCAGAGCGCACCAGTTCGGGGGTCTTAACCACCACCAGGGCAGAGGCAGAGGCAGAGACCCCCTTCTGGCGGCGGGTAAAGGCCAGCGCCTCCTGAGAGGCCCGCAGGGTCAGGTCAGAGGTCGCTTCAAGGCGGAAAATGGGCTGCATTTTCTAGAAAGAAAGAAATCAGATTGAAGTCAGTAATCTGCTACACATGCACTGTTTACATCCTACTGACATACATTACTGTACTCAATGAGACTGTGCCCATTCATTAACATACATTCAACATCAGGCGTCCTGTTTACACATTGAAACCATATTTACACAGCACTCTGTAGTAACTACATCTACAGGCTCTAAGGAAGATAATCTGTAGTCTGATCAAAGATTAAATACACTGAGAGAGATCGCCAGCCCCCGTTCATCTTGTTTTTAGCTGGTCTGTTTACACATTGAAACCATATTTACACTTCAGATTCTGACTCCACCTCGTTGTACCAGCATACCAAGGGTCTTAAGGAGTGAGCCACGTTGTCTCATCACGTTTTTAAAGCGTTTCCAGAGATTGTCAGCTCATCACAGCAGTGGCTAATGCTAACTCATTCATTTCCAACGCTTAGCATGCTAATAGCGGTTTCTATGCTAACGCATCTAAAGCACAGTGAAAGTTTAAATATCAACTCCACACAGGAGCAGTACGACATCCTCGGTCTCAACAAGTGAACCCAGTATGGGAATATTATTTCAAACACATTGCACCGATCGGTAATGACTCTGATTAACTTACGCTAACGTTACATTGGCTGTTTCACTGCTAACTGATTACTGTCTAATATATAAGCTTCCTTTTCGCTGTAGCACTTTTACAAACAATAAAGTTTGTCTAACCTTATAATGTTATCCGTTAAATAGTCCGTCGCTCAGTCAGAGTGACACTGACCGTGGCTGTGGCTTTGGGGGTGGGCGGGACATGCGGCGAGCTGTCCAATCACAGCACAGCAGCTAAATGGAACAGACCAATGGGTGCGGGTCAAGACAACCCCATTGGTCTGTTCCATTTGTACATGAGCCAATGATAGCCTCTGAAACCGATAGGCGTTGCATTGTTTATTATATTAATTATTGTTGTATTTATTACTGTTGAACTTTATTTTATGTTAGCTTTATCTTACTGTGCTTTGCACTTTGTTGTATTTAGTTACTAGCTTCATTCTTACTCTTCTATTACAGCTGTTGCACAGCAGTTTTTTAAATAAAGCTTCTTGAATCTTGAATTGAATCTGTGTCTTTAATTTCTTAACATTCAGTTAGGGTTTAGTTCACCAGGATGCCTCTCATTATACAGCAATATGGCTGTCTATTATTATGTTATATTATATATTATAATTAGTCCACACCACTGGCACACCTGGTCAGCCATCAACATTCCCGAGTGTATGGCAGCAGTTATCATATGAATAGTGTCCTCAAGTGCACCTGACTGTCTATTATTCTACACCACTGCCACACCCGGCACACATTGGCACCTCTTCCTGGGTCAGCCATCAACATTCCCGAGTGTATGGCAGCAGTTATCATATGAATAGTGTTTGGCTATAGACCCTTTTTTTGTTTGTACACAATGATGACGTAGAACGTTTGCGGCGGAGATAAACAGCTTGTTGAGCTACACAAGGGGATTATCAACTAAAGATCGCGAATGTTACCTTAACAAGTTAACTTTGACAAATGGTGTCCGACTTCCAGATCCGTGTTTTGTTAAGAAGAGGGTTGAAGACGTTAGAAAGTGGCCAAATATACAGTGGCTGGATATATGTACCTATTTAATTGAGAAACCAAGCGTGTTCACCAGAGAGAAATTACGAGGCTATAAGTCACTGGATGCTTATGAATACATTGTCTGTGGTCATGTACCGGACGTCAAATACCGCGACATAGACTCAGAGTTTTGTGTTTTAAGAGCAGAAATTCTCCCTAGTCAAAGACAAGCACACAAGACAACGATGTATGATGCTTGGGTTATAATCAACCAATGAGAACACTATGTCCTCACAGCGAACTGCACCTGTATGGCGGGGTAAGCAGTAGTATTATTTGGTGTTGTAGACTTTTAGATATGCCACAGCTGCAACTCCACCCTCACAGTCATCCCCATCTGAACTCACCATCTGTCTGGAGGAGATAAAGGTATGGATGGAGCACAACTTCCTTCAACTTAACAGCTCCAAAAACCGAAGCCATCCTGGTTGGCACGCCCCACCAGACCAAATCATCATCCGTAACCAGCATCACCTTCTCCGGCTCCAACATCCCCCTCTCATCAATAGTCACAAATCTTGGTGTAAAAATGGACTCCCAACTCACTTTGAAGCCCATATAAATCACCTATGCAAGACCTCCTTCTACCACCTCCGTAACATTTCCACACTCCGCCCCATTCTCTCCCTCTCAGATGCAGAAAAGCTGGTTCATGCCTGTGTCTCCTCCAGACTGGACTACTGGGGTGGTAAGGTTGACCAGCACGGTGAGGAGGATCTCATCGATTCGGTTGAATGTTAGGTGGGTGGCGAACTCCGGGTGGGCGCACGAGTACTGGGCGAGTGCGTCCTTGTTGGCCATAAGGAAGGTGCTCGAGGTGTTGGTCTCCCGCTCCCGCTGGTGTGCGTACACCACATAGGTGGTGTAGCCCGCGTCGTTCTCAGGACCCACTTGAAGGTCTGACCCTGGTACTTGCCAAAGTGCCAGCTTGGCGTTCCCAGGGTCGCCGCCTTCAGAGACGACGCGGGCCCTCGCCTCCTTCTCCACCTCCTCTGCTTTGATGGCCCTGGCCGGGGAGGGCCGCAGGACAAGCTGCTGCTGCGAGGTGGTTATTTTGAGATTTGCAATATTCATTTCTACAATCAAAAGACAACATATTATTCAATATAGGCTGGCAAAAAAAAATCCCATGCAATGGTGCTTGTACATGCAAGAAATACATGCATAATGCAATACAAAAATCAAAGGAGTAAACGTGAATATTTCCAGACGACTTCGTTTTAAGAAGATCGGCTATGTTCGTTTTACAGTTTTTCTAAATTGCTAAAACACTAAAACCCATTGGCTGAACAAAGTTCGCAGTTGCCTTAACTCATTTAGCTAATTGTGCAGTCTGTTGTCAATACCTTAAACCATTTCACATGGTAAAACACAATTTGCAGATCTCACTTAGACTTTTCAGCAGAACTCTAAACACATTCTGCACTCTAATGCACGTCATCCATACTGGTAAACACAAGTGGCAACAATCAAATACAAATAGAGAACACATGTCATTGATTAAACACAACCACTCAAAATTGATTTCACTTGTTTCAAATCATGTGACACAACCAATATAAGCCAGTTCAGAGAGCAAACAGGTTGTTGAAGGTGGGACGGAGAAAAGGAGGGAAAATATTGCTTGTGATGTCGATGAAGTGCTCTGGCCTGACCAAGTCCAAAGACAAGAAGAAGCACATTGATCACATGTTTACTCCTTTGATTTTTGTATTGTATACTGTAGTACAGTGCATTGTAGGCTGTATACTGTACAATAAACACATTGTCTGGCCCTGAACATTGTGTTTTCTATTTGTTTACAGTACTGACTGCTCAATAGATTTGGACTGGTTGCAGGTTCATATCAACAAAGAACAAAAATTACAGTATCACAGAAACAAAGGACAAGTTTGTGAGATGCAGGGTACAGTACTGTAAAAATAGGGGTACAAGGGGTACATTGCAAAGAGCAAAGCAGAGTATAAAATCTGATCGATTTTGAGCTACTATGATAGAACATGTTTTCATTCATCAAAAGACAACGACGGAAAAATATGAAATTTGTTTTAAGATTAAAACTGTACTTTTAATGTAAAACTATATGTTTTGAACAACGTGTTTTCTATTTTTAGGTGTATTGTTTACTGACTGCTTGATAGTGTATATCATTCTGATCACTTTGGTTATGATTTGAGAGCAGTGTTTGGTTTTGAGCACAGGTAAATCTGTTTTGAGGCGAAAGTTTTCATTTTGCACGAGGAGTCAGGTTTTGTAAATAATGCTTGAAGCTGAGGTTTTGTGTTTAATGTTTTCAGAAAATGGAGCAGGGTTTCAAAAATTGTGTTTTAGCAATTGAGAAAAACTGTAATACACGCTAAACGGCAGCCAACAACAGAAGTATAAAGTAGCTCAGATTTGTTCTTCAGTACTTGAGTAAATGTAAATGCTCGTAACTGGAAGGACCTTAAACAGACTCCATGTAATCATTTCAGAAGTTTTTATGCAAAGATAGTAAATAAAAATTAAACATTCTCTCTCAAATTTGCAGATTTTCTCCCTTTGTCATATATAGTTATAATAATAATATATCAAAGTCACCAGAATATATTATTATTCACTTTGGTCTTTTTCACAGTTTTTGACATTTTGACTCATCAATGAAAAATAATTGGCTGACTATAGTTGGTAATACAAATTATTATTGGTTGCTAACACATTGACAAGAACATGATCCCTCACTGGCTTCCCAACCACAGTGTCAATTCACTACCAGGAACTGAACGTGTGTCACAGCGGGTTTTAATGGACATATTGTGTTTACGTGTTGTATCACATGGACTTTGTGACACTCTAGAGTGAGATTAAAGGATTAAATGGAAATGGAAATCTTCTCTGAGTCTCTGTTGGTTTTGTGGAAATAAAATAATATTTAAAGGTGCCCATATGAACATAGAAATAGGTGTTTATTGCTTCCTCCTGTTAATAAGAATCAGAATCAGAATCAGAAATACTTTAATAATCCCAGGGGGAAATTACAATTACAATCTAACACTCCAGATATACAAACGACATATATATATATATACAACATTCAGCACAAAAAATATAAATACATACATATAACTGTATATATACACAAGATCAAATGTACAGTATTAATGTGCAAAAAGTGCAAAAGAATGATTGTCTATGTTTTGAGTCAGAATTACAGAGGGAGGAGGCGTTTTAAAGATTAATGACCACAGGCAGGAATGATTTCCTGTGGCGCTCTGTGGTGCATCTGGGTGAGAGGAGTCTTCTGCTGTAGGTGCTCCTCTGCTGGGCCAGTGTGTCGTAGATAGGGTGAAAGACATTGTTCAAGGTGGACTGAAGCCTGGACATCATCCTCCTCTCTGCCACGGTCGTCAGTGTCTCCAGCTCCTCCCCCACGACATCACCGGCCCTTCTGATCAGTTTGCTTAGTCTGTTGTTGTCTGCGACCTTCAGCCCACTGCCCCAGCATGTGACAGCGAAGAAGATCGTACTGGCCACAACAGACTCATAGAACATCCTCAGCATCGTCCGGCAGATGTTAAAGGACCTCAGCCTCCTTAGGAAAAAGAGTCGGCTTTGGCCCTTTTTGTAGACAGCCTCAGTGTTTCTAGTCCAGTCCAGCTTATTATTAAAGTACACCCCCAGGTACTTATACTCCTCCACAGTGTCCACAGGGACCCCCTGGATGGAAACAGGGGTCACAGGTGTTTTTGCCCTCCTCAGATCCACTATGAGCTCCTTAGTCTTTGTCACATTGAGCTGCAGATGATTCAGCTCAGTCCAAGTGACAAAGTTGCCCACCACAGTCCTATATTCACTGTCATCACCCTTATCTATGCAGCCAACTATTGCTGAGTCATCAGAAAACTTCTGAAGGTGGCAGGACTCGGTGCAATAGTTGAAGTCTGAGGTGAAGAGGGTGAAGAGGAAGGGAAAGAGGACAGTCCCCTGTGGGGCCCCAGTGTTGCTGACCACCCTGTCAGACACACAGTTTTGTAGGCGTACGTACTGTGGTCTGCCCGTCAGGTAATCAACAATCCAGGACACGATGGGGGCCTCCACCTGCATCGCAGCCATCTTCTCACCCAGTAGAGCCAGACGGATGGTGTTGAAAGCACTGGAGAAATCAAAGAACATGACTCTCACAGTGCTTGCCGGCTTGTCCAGATGAGTGTAGACTCTGTTCAGCAGGTAGATGATGCTGTCCTCAACTCCCAGGCGGGGCTGGTAGGCGAACTGTAGTGGATCAGTGAAGGGCCTGACCATAGGCCTTAGCTGCTCCAGGACGAGCCTCTCCAGGGTCTTCATGATGTGGGACGTCAGAGCCACCGGTCTATAATCCTGAGGGCCGCTGGGACGCGGCGTCTTTGGCACAGGAACGAGGCAGGACGTCTTCCACAGCACAGGGACCCTCTGGAGGTGCAGGCTTAGGCTGAAGACTTGGCTAAGTACTCGTCAGCTGTCTTCTCACCAGGTCAGGCGTGAAGGGCACTGTAGAGGTGACAGTGGGGGGAGGGGTGAGGTCCTCAGGTTGTGGAGGACATGATGCAGAGCAGGGGGCAGGGGTGGAGTAGGTGGGTGTGAATTGAGATGGTGAGGAGCAGACAAGGGGTCTGTAAGGAGGAGGAGTAGGGGGAGATAAAGTGGCAGTTGTTGGGTAGCCAGCAGCAGAGACTTGTGGGGGATGGGCCGCAGTATCAAACCTATTGAAAAATAGGTTCAGTTCATTGGCCCGGTCCACATGGCCCTCCAACCCCATGCCACCAGTCTTCTGGAACCCAGTGATGGTTCTCATGCCACTCCACACATCCCTCATGTTGTTTCGCTGGAGTTTATTCTCCAGCTTTCTCCTATACTTGTCTTTAGCCTCCCTGATTTTAAGTTTGAGTACCCCCTGTACTCTCCTCACCTCATCACGATTGCCATCTCTGAATGCCCTCTTCTTCTCATTCAGGATGGCCTTAATGTTCTTAGTGATCCAAGGTTTATTGTTAGCATAACAAGTTACAGTCCGAGCTGGGACATTGCAGTCCACACAGAAGTCATAGTGGACATTGAAGGGTTTTTTGAAGTGGGGTTGTATGAGGTGCTGTATGGATACAGCTGTACAGTGACAGGGTCTGTATGTTGGAGATGAAGAGGAAACCCAAAAAAGAGGAGAAATACAGGTATGGTTGCCCCACTATCACCACATATACATTCCCCACCTGCAATAGAGCTTGTGGTTAGCACTGCCATCTAGTGGTCACAGTCAGAAGCTACACTGATACTTTTCTCAGGGATATTATATTATGTATTATTAATACTGATCATTAATCAAAGATAATGCAGTAACAGATCTTTATGGTAAACAGAAATAAAACTTTATTGAGTTTAAAGGTTCATTGACATTCAGGATAGCAGTTAATAGTAAAATTAGATTATTTTTTCTGTAACATAATACTTAGTGTAGGCCTATGTTCTCAACAAATCCTGACTACACGGATCAGAACTGTACAGTGAAGTAACTAAAAGTTATTACATACCACATTTTCTTCTGTAGTTATTACATCAACATCATACTTAACAGAAATAGAATGAAAAACATTTTGTGATGTTTAAACATTTGTATCAACAGTGTAGATCTTCTAAACAGCTTTCTGCTGATGATCATGTTGTTAACCTACTTCAGCATCGCTGCTGTTTGTACCTCAGCACTGCTCTGGTTCCTTTATCCACTCGTCTTTTCATCTCTTCCAGTTTCTGGACCTTCTCTGTGTCTCCTTTCTCCTTCATCTTCTCAATCAGGAAGTCCAAGTGGACAAGAGTGGACAGTGAATCAGTATTCAGGGCGATCTGCTCCAGTTTGACAACATGCTGGAAGGACTCTTCCAACCACTGATCTTTATCTTTCTGAAGTTCTTCTGTTTCCTTCTTTAGATTTTCCAAAAGGCTCAACCTGCTCTCACTTTCTGTCTTGTTCTTTTAATACTTCTCTTTCACTTCTCTCTGGGTCTGCTGAACTTTTCTTGTCTTGGTCACATAGATCCACCTATCTTTCACATGATCTGATACAGGACACTTCCTGGTACAAACAGTGCAGCGACCATCTTTCATGACCTCACACTGTCCGGGACTCCAGGCCACTGTACATCCAGGATAGTGACAGTTCTCTTCACAGACTTTACAGCAGACAGCTGCTTCATAAAACATCAACCCCCACCACCAACCATCAATAGGTTCTTTAACTTTGTAGACCTCATCAACTTCTACAGTGAACTTCTCATTCTTCTTCTTCTCTTGTTCATTTGTCTTCATTTCTCCCTGAGTCTGTTGTTCTTTCTGTTTCAGTTCAATAAACTCAACTCTCTCCTTCAGGTTTTGGACGCAGGCTGTCAGTGTGATTCGTTCATTTAGAACCTTTACAGTTCTCCTCAGCTTTTGAGGATCAATTTTTTCCAGAAAGTCTGTGAACTGTCTCAGTCCTTTTGTTGATGTTTTAGCTGCATGTTTAAGGACATCTGTGTCCTCTGTCCTGTCTTCATCCTGACAGTTATTGAACAGGAAGTGAACAGGCTGATTATTTTTATCTTTTGCAAACTCAATTTTTGCAGCCTCGAGGGTTTTCAGGACATTTTTAGGTGATCTTCCATCTGAGTAAGTGATGAGGGCAACAATGTTCATCTCCATATCTTTTCCAAACAGAGACAGAACTGAATCAAAGATGTACCTCAGTCGGTCACTCACTCGGTTCTCAGTAGCTTTCAGCACCAGACCCACTACATTGATCTCATGGACTCCGTCCTCTGAGCGGAACAAGTCTAATAAGTTGTGACTGACGATGACATCGTGTTCAATCCCTCTGGTATCTCCGTATCCAGGAGTATCGATGATGGTCAGAGAGTAGGGCAGAGTTTTATCTTCAAAACCAAAGATCTGATAAACGATCACATCTGATGTCTGACTCTCTGACTGACTTCTCTTCTCGTCCTCTACGATCTGAAACCAGACATCGTCCTCCCACTTCACTCCCATGGTGTAGTTGACCAGAGTGTTGATCAGAGTAGATTTTCCTGTTCCTGTTTCACCAACAAGTAAAATGGTTCTGTTTGTCTTTGCAGGGTCTTTTTCTCCAACAGTTATTCCTGTCCAAGTTCCAAACTTCTTTTTGTTTGGTTTCAGCTGGTAGACAGTGGGAGATCCTGATTGGATCAGAGCACTTTTAGAGATGATATTTTCATATTTCAGTGAGGTGTTATTCTTCCTGTAGAAAAAGTAGATAATGTACACATTAAATTTTATAAATATTAGCCTTCATTTATTTTCTATTCATTGTTAAAAGCTACATCAAAATAAATATAATAAAACTAAAGGAATTTTCTATATACATGCTGACGTGCAACGTTAAGCGTACAATGTCATCCTGTCACAGACAGATGCAGAAGAACTAATCCATGCATTTGTTACTCCTAGGCTGGATTACTGCAACTCTTTATTATCAGGCTGCTCAAATAAGTCCATTAAGACGCTCCAAGCACGAGTACTGACAGGAACTAGGAAAAGAGATCACATCTCTCCTGTATTAGCTTCTCTGCACTGTCTTTATAAATTGATGAGATGTTAACAATCCTGTAGAAAAAGTTAATAAGTTCAATCAAAACTCACTGTTCAAATTGATTAGCAATTACAAATCAGTCCAGCTCTCAGTCTTAAGATGTGTTCACACCATCGACAGTGTATATATATATATATATATATATATATAAATGGACAGAGCTTCTGGGTTTGAAAAGTGAAGCCAATACAGAAGTGTCTTAAAACCTACATTCTATGTAAATTCCAGCAGGGGGAGCTCCATTTGCTACAATAACACTGCAATCCCATTCACTCTAATGGAGAATAAGCTGATTTACACTGTAATTATGAGCTCAGTAAACAGTTTCCTGATGAGTTTATGGTCTCAGTCTCTAGTTTCAGTCTTCTTCCACACAGCATGATGTTCATTTAGTAAATTATAGTAAAATAGAAGCAGCTTATGCTTATGGGGCGGGGCTACCTTTTGATTAACAGGTCACTCTCAGTGAGTCTGTTCAGAGCTGTCACTGTCCTACAGCCTTTCCTGCATACTATCAGCCTTAATACAAGAGGCAAAGCAGTTGTTTCAGTTAAAGACCACTCTCTTCTTACGCAACTGATGAAATTCAACTGCTGCTGGTAAGACAGACTGAAAACACACACCATATGTTATTTATTACTCAATGAGAAGCTGGAAACACGTGATTCAATCCACTTACTGAGCATCTTTAGTGGCTTTGACCACTGGAGGTCGCAGCAGAGCCTCTTCTGAAACAGAAGATTTTGTCTTGTCAAACATGTTTTTTTAAGATTACAAGTCAATTCATGTGCTTTATATTATAATGAGTACAGCCACAAGGAACATTTAGAACACATATATACAGAAGAAAAAACACTATCCACAAAATAACATAAACCACATGCAGTCAGACATGGTAACTAAGCTAAATAAGCTTGTTCATGAATCGAAAAATAGAAAATGTTTTAACTTGCTTCTGAATGTGGACAAAGACAGATAAAAGCTACAGGTCCATATTTAGCAAACTGCTCAAGAGAAATTTTAGATTTAAAGGTTCAGTGTGTAGGATTCAGTAACATCTAGCATTCAACATGATAGAGGACCCACAGTAAAACCAAATGTTGAAGTTATTTTAAATAGATACATTTTTAATTTTGAAAATGTCAGAAATGGATTCAGCAAAAACCCCCAAACCCCCTATTTTGTCCAAATCAGCCAAACAGTTGCTCAAATATTGTCCATATAGGTGATTATGTTTATTAATGCTAATTGTACAAATTTCTCAATTTATGTTAGCCTCTGGCAGTTTCTAAATGCTGGGGACTCATATTGAGATATTTATATGAATATATTGAATATCTCAAGGTTTTATAGTGGAAATGTACAGTATGATTGATAGATAGATAGATAGATAGATAGATAGATAGATAGATAGATAGATAGATAGATAGATAGATAGATAGATAGATACTTTATTTATGCCTGAATTTCACTCGGGATAAATAAAGGATCTATCTATCAATCATACTCCACATTTCTACTATAAAACCTTGAGATATTCAAAATATTCATATAAATATCTCAAAGAACTTCTGCGATCGTTCAGTTTTATGTTTTGGTCTTCTTGCAGCTTACCTCGTTCTGCTGTTCTGAAGCTTGATGACAATGTCTCCACCAGATCAGCCCTGTTGATCTTCTCTAGAATCTTCTTCACTACCTCTACAGACTGCTGGTTATACTTCTGGATTATTTTATCCACTGTGTCCTTCCTGTCTGCTTTCTCCAGTTCACACTTTGGGATGACTCCGAGGTCTCCCAGGATGTCAGAGTCCTGCAGGAACCACTTGAACTTCTTAAAATCTTCATCTCCCAAATCTTCCAGTGTCTTCAGCAGCACCTCTCTAACAGACCATGCCCCCCCCTTTGACATGATTCATCACTGTAAAAAAGAATAAATAAAACATGATGCTGAACAAGGAGGAAGAGTTGAGCAAAGCAAAGCAAACAATTTCAATTTACAAGAAATTTACAATTTTCTCCTCTTCTCTTAAATTTCTGTGTAACATTACTTTTTACAACAATGTCTATGAAATGGTGAAGCAGCTGTGCAGTTATCAGCTGCTCCAACAATAGTGGCAACCTTCAACTTTGTAAGAAAACTGAATGTGAAACACACAAGCTTTTACTTCATGAGGAGTGTCTGAGACTATACACTGGACAAGATATCCTGCAGACCAAGGGAAGGACCAAGATCTTTATGCCAGACAATTAATGAAATAATATTGAATATCTATTATTCTATTATTTTTTTAACTAGTCAATGCCAGTGCAACTCTTGATTGATAATGATAGCTAGCTAGTACCGTAGTATTACACAGTACATCACTTAAATGTGGCAAACAGTCTCTCAGTTTTCTCTCTATTTCTGGATATTGTCATAACAAATGTCCAACAGGTAGAATTTGAATGATGCAAAGATCTCCTCCATATAAGGTACCTTCATCAGTAACAGCCTAACATCATCAGTCCAACTACACATGCTGCTGTCAGTCACTACAACTGTCCACAGCTAGATGGCAGAACACACAAACTTAACTGAAACTTTGATTTGTGTAAAGAATGGCCCTGGGTCTATTATTAGAAAGTTAATGCTAATATTTGTAATAGGGGAGAGTGGGGTAAGATGAGCCATTTTTCATATTTAGGATCACTACATCAAGGCAATCATAGTTTTGTTGCTAACTAATATATCTGCATATATTTCAGGATGTTGTGCATCCCTTCAAACAAACAGAATGAGTGTAAACATAACTGTTTCGATAATATACCTTGTCCAAGAAAAGTGGTCTTGTGGCTCAACTTACTTCGTGTATGGGGTAAGTTGAGCATAGGAGCGGGGTAAGTTGAGCCGTACAAGCCTCTACTGATCAGGAATAAGCCTACTGTGAAACAGGTGAGGGTTTGGTCTGCAGGAGCCATGGAAGCATTACAGGACTGTTTCGAGCACACAGACTGGGACATGTTTAAGTCAGCTGCTGAGGACATCCTGGAGTATGCTGAGTCTGTGTCTGGATACATCCAGAAATGCATGGAGGTTGTTAGCGTGGTCAAAAACATCACCACACGGGCCAATGAGAAACCCTGGATGACGAGTGAGGTACGCGCAAGGCTGAAAGCAAGGAACAACGCTTTCAACTCTGGTGACACGGTGGCTCTGAAAACAGCTAGAGCCAACCTGAACTGAGCTATAAGATTAGCTAAGCGCGCTCATGGACAAAAAGTACAGGATTTCTTCAATGACCCCACTAACCCCAGACGGATGTGGCAGGGCATCCAAGCCATTACTGACTACAAGGCCCCACCCTCTTCCTGTGAGAACAACACCAGCTTACTCAATGAGCTAAACGAGTACTTTGGGAGGTTCGAGGAACTAAACACCACCACAGCAACAAAATCCATTCCGCGCCCAGATGAGCAGACACTCTGCCTCGACCCAGCTGATGTCCGGAGAACCCTGAGGAAGGTTAAAGCAGCTGGCCCTGACAACATACCAGGAAAGGTGCTTAAGGAATGTGCTGACCAGCTGGCTGGGGTTCTCACAGACATTTTTAACATCTCACTGCAGCAGGCTGTGGTACCATCCTGCTTCAAGACTGCCATGATTGTACCGGTACCCAAAAAGAACACAACCTCCTCCCTCAATGACTACCACCCAGTAGCACTCACACCTATCATGATGAAGTGCTTCGAGAGGCTGGTAAAGGACCACATGGTTTCCAGACTCCCCCCAACATTCGACCCGTACCAGTTTGCTTATCATCCCAACCGCTCCACAGAGGACGCCATCTCCTCTACACTCCATTGGAGCCTAGAGCATCTGGAAGGGAAAAACCCACATGTGCGGATGCTGTTCCTGGACTTCAGCTCTGCGTTCAACACCATCATACCACAACATCTGATAAGTAAACTGGCCCCCCTTGGATTCAGCACAGGGCAGACTGGTGTGGAACCGACAACCTGATCTTGAATGTCTCAAAAACAAAAGAGATCATTGTGGACCAGCGCAGCCACACTCCTCTCATCATCGACTCAGCAGAGGAGATCGTCAGCAGTACCAGGTTCTTGGGGGTGCAGATAACGGACTCTCTCAACTGGTCAAACCACACTGGCATCCTTTTAAAGAGGGCCCAGCAGCATATGCACTTTCTGCGCTGGATGAAGAGAGTGCATCTACCCGCTCCCATTCTCACCACCTTCTACAGAGGAACTATAGAGAGCATCCTGATCAACTGCATCTCAGTCTGGTCGGCGGCCTGTAGTGCCTCTGACTGGAAAAGTCTACAGAGGGTGGTGAGGACAGCGGAGAAAATTACTGGGACTTCACTTCCTTCCCTCCAGGACATTGCAAAGAAACGCTGTTTGACCAGGGCTCAAAACATCATTAGTGACCCCTCCCACCCCCACCATGGACTGTTCTCACTGCTGGCCTCTGGCAGGAGACTCCGCAGCCTGCGGAGCAGAACAGCCAGACTCAACAACAGCTTCTTTCCACATGCCATAAGACTGCTGAACACTGTATAACCATTCCCCCTTCTCTCCCCCTCCTCACCCATACACCTACAAAGAACTAAGCTATCCTATATTTATCTTAATATTATCTGTATATTGCGTTATTTTTATTTTTTATTTTTATACAAAAGATATATTTATCGTATTTTTCTTATTTGTATTATATACAAAAGTTATTTTACATTGGCAACAAAAATTGTGCAATATATATTATCTATGGGTTTCTCTTCTCTTTTTTTATATTAAAAAGTTTGATATTTGGATATCTATTTTTTGACTGTACATACTGCCTCTCCTCTATTCCTGTTGTGCTATTGTAACGAAATTTCATTTTGATGAAAATCTATATGACAAATAAAGTCTAAGTCTATTAGTTTAGTTTAACTAGTGTGTATAAGTTACTGTGATATGTTTCTATATATAAATATATGAAAAAGTACATATGGAATATTGTCTCTTAGTAGTTTATTCGTTATTATTATTATTATTGTTATTACTAGAGTAGCATTCTTTAAATACAGGTGCACTGTAAAACCTTTTGCTTACTGCAAATATACAGTAATTTACTGACAAAACTTTGACCAAGAATACAATACTGAACAGCAATGTTATTTGTAGTATACACCGTAAATCTAAAATACAGTAAGAAACTGTAAAAATACAGTACTTTTCTTGTGAAGCTGCTGCCAGATTATTACTGTAGTCTCTAATCTCCATTATCACATACATAATGCTGCCTGTATTACAGTATGTTTACTTGTTTAGCAGCATAATGAGGAAGTGCATCTGAAGACTGTTTACTGCCAACACAAAATGTTAATACTGAACATATCTGAGACAATACCTTCAATCAGCCTTACCTTGTTACTGACAACACAATATCCTGATGTAATGGAAATAGTTGTAAGCTTGTAAACTGCAAGAATATTCAGTATATCCACACTGAAACTTCCCTATGTAAGAGCTGCAAACAAAAGTGGAAGAAAAAGGAAATAGGTGTGTCCAGTGTGAGAAGATACAGATCTATGGACCAGTAGGCGGATCCAGGGGCCATTCCTGCAGAATAAAGTGTTTGTGACTTTAAAGAGGCCATATAATGCTCACTTTCAGCTTCATACTTGTTTTGGGGGTCTACTATAATAGGTTCACATGCTTTAATGTTAAAATACACATATACCTAACTTATACACCTTAAATATAAACTTATATATAAACCTTACATATAAATATCTATATTTAAACCTTACATACAAACTCATAAGAACGAGTTTTCCACATTGACTCTATAAGAACAGTAATGGAGAACATCTCTCTCTTGTTGAAGCTGCCTTTCTTCCTCACAGTGCGGGCAGCAGTCTGTACTGGGAGCACAACCGCACAGTCAGCCGCTCTTTTCTTTTCTTTTCTTTTCTTTGGTAGCAGTCCGTTAGACTGTCAGAGTCTGCAGCTGCTGCGCCCACTGCGCATGCGCCGGGGCTGTCACGACTCGGACGCCGCTGCGGTGCTGCAGGTGGAAACATGGCGATGAAGGCGCTCAGAGGGATGGTGAACGGGGCCATGAGCGAGCTGTCCTCGGCCGTCAGCGGGAGCAGACCTCCGGCCGCCGCCCCGGCCTCCACCGCCGCCTCCCGGGAGCATGTGATGGCCGTGAAGAGGGACTATATCTCCCAGCCCCGCCTCAGTGAGTCCTCAATATCTGTGATCGATATCATCTAATCACACTGCTTTATAACATATAGAGATAAAGATATGAATATAATATTACTTCCTCCTGATCACCTGTGTGTGCATCGATTAGATATATCGATTAGTAAACAGAACAAACAATAAGATTCAATAATTAGACATTCATTTCCTTTTATGGAGCAAAAAGAGCCTCACTGGTTGCATCTTCTCTCAGTATTTGTTTGTTTCTTAAGCAGATAATAAAATCAATATATTTTAACTCTAAACTATTATTGTGGCACATTAGTATAGCACTGAATAAATATCTAAAGGTGGTATTGGAAATCATCTTTTTACTAATTAATACTAATACATTTAACTTAAGCCAGTCAAATAAAATGTGTCCATAACAGATCATTTAATTATATGTGTTGATTTAGTTTAGAGAGTTAAACTTGTTAAAGTTGCATTTTTCAGGATTTTCAGACATTTTAGAGTCCAAATGATGAGCTGATAATGAAAATAATCCTGGTTTGCAGCAGCTCTTCACTCAGTTGTTGAATTTCTGTGTAGCATGAATGTGTGTGGGCCTCAGTTGGATATATATATAAATACACTCTGCAGCTTCCCAATGCTTCTGCCTGAAGCTTAGCCAGAAATATTGTCCTCAGTAACATCACAAGTATAATTCACACAGCTGAGCCTGAGATAAACCTCAGAGAGGATGATTGTTCCCTCTAAAGACTGATTCATTCCATATGTAAGATGTCTCAGTGTGAGTCAGTGTGTGTGCCTGTGGACTGATCTCTATGTGTCTCTATGTAGGGATGAGGGTCAAAGGTTGTGACCTTTATGTTCCCGATTGCCTTCTCTCTCCACTTCCCTACAGTGCCAACAGTGGGCAACACTACCTAACATTAGTTTATAAATGGAGTCTGCTAACGGCCGGTCTGCCCTCTGCTGACACTTGTGTTTGTATTTCTGTTTTCTGCATCCTCAGCCTATAAAACGGTGTCTGGAGTCAATGGTCCGCTGGTGATTTTGGATCAGGTGAAGGTAAGAATGACTACAGATCTCAGATGACTCACGTCTGTATTCATATTTTCTTTCTCTGATTTTTTCAGGACCCTCAGTTCTCATGAGACAGATTCAATATAATGTGTCACAGTGCAGATATTACACTTTCATCCATTCTAGATGGAATATATGGAGACAAAGGACTGAATCCCAATAAAATATTTTACCCTACTGGCTGTTACTCTCAGTGCAGTGCTCCCACCCTGTAGCTCCATTAAATAATCTAATTGCCCTCTAACTCATATCTCTCTGGTCTTTCCTGTAACTGACGCTTCCTGTTTCTCTCCAACAGTTCCCGAGGTACGCAGAGATCGTCCATCTCACGCTGCCTGATGGTACCAAGAGGAGTGGGCAGGTTCTGGAGGTCACTGGCTCCAAAGCTGTGGTTCAGGTACCCGAATCTCAACCACTGTTGGATGGGTTGATGTTTGTGGTTCAGAGTGAAATATTAGATTACCAGTGGGTGCTTCTGCAGCTGTCAGGGGGTACGGGAAAATATTGTGGAGGAATTCAATAAATCAGAAATTACAATTAAATTAAAAAAATATATCAACATATTGTTTCAGCTGCAACACCTGAACTGCAGGTGTTGGATTTAAACTTAATAGTTAAAAAAGGTTTGCTTAAAAATGTATAAATGATTGTTTAAAAAAAATGTATAAATGGTCAAACTAAAAGTAATAGAAGCTGTTGAAGAAGTTAGGAGGTTAGCTCACTTGGTAGAGCTGGCGACCCGGGTTCGAATCCGACAAGCGGCCCTTTGCTGTGTGTCATCCCCCCCCCTCTCTCCACCCACCTTTCCTGTCTCTCTACAGCTGTCACTATCAAAAAAGCCAACAAAAATAACTTAAATAAATAAAAAATTGACAAATGGTTCACACATCGAGCTTGTGCCACAAACTGAGAGTTTAACTGCGTATAATATTCTAATAACATCCACTTTTACATTGTCAATAGTTAATTAAGATCCAGTTTAAAATCAGTGAACATATTTGGAACATGATTGTTGATGGAGGGGTATTTGAGTCCATCTGACAGGACTGTAGGGGTACGACTAGCACACTAGAGTGCTGCTTCCAACCTTTTTCCTTCATCATCACACATAATATCTAAGCAAATTATTTCATTCGGTTTTCTTCAAGAATTAGACAAAATGCTGAGATATCCGCCTGTGTTTGTATTTTTTAAGTTTCCTTACACCCCTTAAATTCAAGAAAGTCTTACGACCCCCTGTGAAGCTTTGGGCGACCCCCAGTGGGGATCCTGAACCTCAGGTTGGTAACCATTACCCAAGAGGATCACTTGTAATGACTCTATTTTAACATTGGTTGTCACTGATATTCTTGTCCATGAGCCTACAACAGGTAGCTGATAGATAAGAAATATAACTTGTTGGTTTCCTGTAATATTTTGTGTTCAGTCAGTCTGAGATAAATTGGGGGCTCGTCCGGTATGAACAGTTCTGTTAAAGTGAAGTTAAGACATTTACCCACGTGGGTATTTTATCATTTAAAGAGTATAATACATCAGTTGGGTTTTGTTCTACTTCTGGGGTGAGTCATATTCTGATCCATTGTGTTTGTTTGTCTTCGATTTAGCTTTAAGGTGGTTAATTGTTTTATTTGTTTGGAGATGAAAGTGAGTCGAGCGGCACAGCTGTAGACTCAGACAACAGAGAAAATAATAATACTTTCTCTCTGCTCCTCAAAGGTCCTGGTCCCCTGTTAGTCCCCTTTCTCTTGTGGTCCACATACACAGACTTGTTTTAAAAGGAATATTAATATAAACATTAGTAGTTTACTGATGGATTTCCTGTCCTGTCCTTTGCTCCTCCACTCTACCCCCTGCAGGTGTTCGAAGGAACGTCAGGTATCGATGCCAAGAAGACGAGCTGTGAGTTTACAGGAGACATCTTACGGACACCTGTCTCTGAGGACATGTTGGGTACGACGTGCAACATAATTAATGTGTCACATTCATTCAGAGTCAGAGATTCATGTTTAACAGGAAGGTTTTATTTGTTTTGTCATGAAAATCCTAAACTGAAGGCAGGTATATTTATCTGTGTGTGTGTGTGTGTGTGTGTGTGTGTGTGTGTGTGTGTGTGTGTGTGTGTGTGTGTGTGTGTGTGTGTGTGCAGGTCGTGTGTTTAATGGATCTGGTAAACCCATCGACAGGGGACCAGCAGTCCTGGCTGAAGACTTCTTGGACATAATGGGTATGTTGTTGTTTACAGCCTGAATTACTACAATAAATGCAGAATAACAAATGTTATTGCTGCTAACTGGAACCTGCTGTTGGCTTTATTTTAATATCTGACCCATCCTGTATGATTCTAATAGTTGCTTTCATACAACAGGGCAGCCTATAAACCCTCAGTGTCGTATCTACCCTGAGGAGATGATCCAGACCGGAATATCTGCCATCGATGGCATGAACAGCATCGCCAGAGGACAGAAAATACCCATCTTCTCTGCTGCAGGGCTTCCACACAATGAGGTACACACACACACACACACACACACACACACACACACACACACACACACACACACACACACACACACTCATATATAGATAACATTAATACATGTAAACACACAGAAAGCCATTAATTTCCTGACCGATATGTTCTGTGTGCCAGATCCTCAGGGCTGAATCTTATCTAAATTTACTATATTTAATTAACATACAAAGCTTTTTTTTTGGATCCTTAATTTAAGTAAAATCCCTACACTGTAAAAATTACAAGTAAAAGTCCTGCATTGAAACTTTAGAAAAAGTATGTGTGTATAATCAGTCAAATGTAATTAAAGTGTGACTGTTGTATTATTATATATGATATCATTAGATTATTATGACTCATACATTTATGTTAAAAAAATAATTAATTAAGACTGTAACTAATAATTATTTCCTTCATTAATCCCAAACTTTTATTCTGGGGATCAAAAAACTGACGAATCATGGCAACTCACAGTTGAAAGAGCAAATCTGTGCATAAATAAACGTTCCTGAGCTTTTTTTACTGCTGTTTCTGGAGCACATTATATTTTCTTAAACAGGTAAAGCAGCTGTTGAGAGATATACGTTCATCATCAGTAAAACAATACTTTGTAAATTGTGCATTTAGCAGTCGGAAGAAATTCTGGGAATGTATTTGCGACACAAATTAAAATTCCTGGGAATTAATGCATAAATCTATTGATTGTTTGCTTTGTAAAAATTATGAAACTATTGATAAATGCTGTCACAATTACCCAGAGTTCAAAGTAACACATTCACAATGCTTGTTGAGTCCAACCAACAGTCCAACCTCAGAATTATTCAGCAGCAAATCTGGAACCATAGATTTTCAGTCAGTGGACTAATTGATTATTGGATTAATGGTTTCAGCTGTAGTTGTTTAAACTGTTGGGTAGTTAAGTTTATAACAAAACATCATATTTTACAAACTATTCTCGTTGCCTCCGCTCCTCAGATCGCAGCTCAGATCTGTCGGCAGGCCGGTTTGGTGAGGAAGTCCAAGGACGTGATGGACTACAGCGAGGACAACTTTGCCATCGTATTTGCAGCCATGGGGGTGAGAATTAAAGATTATTCTTAACTAGCAAATCGACAATTTCTAAGAAACATACAGTATATAGTCACATCTAATTTTTCCATTTTGGACTCTCTAGCTCTCTGTGGCCTCAAAGGTAGAAGCTGTCTGTCAGAACGGTTTCCTATTGGTCAACAGCACAAATTTGTTTGTCAAAGTTCTCCAAAGTTTAACTTGATACAAAACCACGGCTTTACTTTTACTAATCACTCCTATTCCAATGCTATTAACTGATTTTGCTGTGAAATTTCCCATTTAAAACACTGATGTGACCATTTCTGTTCATTACTTATTGACCCTTTTTGGGTCATACGGTTGCAGTTATGAACCCTGTCTCTTTTCATTGGGAACCCTCAGAGCCATCGTAACCTATGTTTGTCTTGAAGGACACATTAATGCTGCTTTCACATGGACACAAACACAACTCCAATCATTATAACGTTGCTCAGTTTCTGCTGGTTAGGAGTTTGCCAACACAAAGAGGCCAAAAAAAATTATGGATGCAACTTTAAAGATCAGCTACACTGACTAACACCCCAACTGCCAATCAATATTTTATCATATATAATATTGTGCTTTATGACTTTCTGAGCTAGGACCGTGTGAGAAAACAGAAATGATGAAGGTTAATGAAGTTAAGTTAGTTACTGATTTGCAGTTTCTCTTCTTCCACCAGGTGAACATGGAGACAGCCAGGTTCTTTAAGTCCGACTTTGAGGAGAACGGTTCCATGGACAACGTCTGTTTGTTCCTCAACCTCGCCAACGACCCCACGTATGTATGACCTTTTACCCATCCCCTTCTTTTTACTTAGAAAAGACTTCATTTGGAATATGTTGGATGCCCAAACATAAACAGACACTGAAACTGAATGATCATAAAGTCGTTTTTTTTTATCCGTTTTAATTTTCAGTTTCAGACAGATTGATACACTTCTTACTAATTGATCTTTTTAAGTCCCGCCCCTTTTGGCTCAGTACTCCAATGACAGTAGAGCCTCAGTCAGATTCAGATTTTGATCAAATAAATGGCGATATGTCACATCTTAAGTTCCTAATGGTGACAGAAAGCGAGCATTAAGCCTTAGCAGCAGGTAGCTAGATTACATTAACATTAGCTAAACTAAGATGTGACTATATATCAAACTGTCAGTTATATTTTAACCAGTTTCAATTTGGTTGTTTTTTCAATATCTAAGTACAGAAAGGAAGTTCCAAAGGGTTACTTTGAAAGAGACTTAGAAAGGGTATTTTTACATACCAACTTTTTGAATTTGTTACTCTAGGAATCAGAAAATATAAAGTTTGTAAATGTCAAAAGTTCATTTTAACTTAATTTTGCATGGTTAAATGATTAAATTCAGCTATTCACATCACACACATAGTACAAGAGTCTTCAAATGTGGCCATTATTCATGGTTTTGTGATGTTTACAATAGAAGATATTAAGCATTAAGTTATATAAAAACAGACAGAAATAAAATGAAGAATGCAAAAATAGGTTAAACTTCCTTCTTTATTGCAGCATCGAGCGAATCATCACGCCTCGTTTAGCTCTGACATCAGCAGAGTATCTGGCCTATCAGTGTGAGAAACACGTCCTCGTCATCCTCACTGATATGAGCTCCTATGCAGAGGCTCTCCGAGAGGTCAGTCGCTGTTTCAGTGCTTTTATTCTGAAAGGACTACAGGAAATTGGAAATAAATTGTGTATTTACTCACCTGTGTCACACTCATCCAAACTCAGGTGTCTGCAGCCAGGGAGGAGGTGCCGGGCCGGCGAGGTTTCCCCGGTTACATGTACACGGATTTGGCCACCATCTACGAGAGAGCTGGCAGAGTAGAAGGACGTAACGGCTCCATCACCCAGATCCCCATCCTCACCATGCCCAATGACGGTACTCACACTCAACCACAACTCATAATGCTAATGATATAATAATGAATGTTCTTACAGCGTGTTCTCGTGTCTCTCAGATATCACTCATCCTATTCCTGACCTGACCGGGTACATCACTGAGGGACAAATCTACGTGGACAGACAACTTCACAACAGACAGGTAATGAAGGCCAGCATGGAAAGGTAAGGCCTCAAAATACCATTTTATACCCAATATATGCTCAAGACGTGGACTCGCATGGAGTCAAGAATCTCATGACTTTAGACTCAATAAAATCTTTGGGACTTGACTTGTGACTTGACTTTGGACTTGTTGGTTTTGACTTTGCACCTTTTTTGAGACTTAAGTTGTTAGTCTTGACTTTGGACTTTTCCTGGTAATTGTTGGTCTAAACGTTCACCCTGACTTGGGTCTGGGTATTTCTTTATTTTTCTGACTTGTTAGTCTTATTATGGGATGTTGGTGTTAACTTTGCACTTGTATTGGTACCTAGTTGTTGGTCCTAACATGTCACCTGACCTGGAACTGGTTAGTCTTGATTTGGGAATTATTGATCAGATTCTCTGTTTAAGACTTTCTGTATTAACAAAAACAATAAAAAAAACAACACGGACTGTCAGAGGATTGTGGGAATTAAATCCCCCTCCAGTTACGTCGCTCTGGATGCAGGACGGGACGTGTGCGAGCAGCTGGTGCCTGACTGTATTTGTAGGAGATGTAGTTTTTATACTTGTACCTCCTTACTGATTATTGATCACTGATCATGTTGTGGTTTAGATCTATCCTCCTATCAACGTGCTGCCGTCTCTCTCCCGTCTGATGAAATCTGCCATCGGCGAGGGAATGACCCGCAGGGACCACTCTGATGTTTCCAACCAGCTTGTGAGTTCACACACACTTCCTGTTTCATACCGCACATGCTCGCCTTTACCACCCTGCTCTAAGAGTGTGTGTGTGTGTGTGTGTGTGTGTGTGTGTGTGTGTGTGTGTGTGTGTGTGTGTAGTATGCGTGTTATGCCATAGGGAAGGACGTCCAGGCCATGAAGGCAGTGGTCGGGGAGGAGGCTCTGACTGCTGATGATCTGCTCTATCTGGAGTTCCTGACAAAGTTTGAGAAAAACTTCATCTCCCAAGGTGCAGTGGGGCACGATAGCTGCGAGAATGATTGACAGAAAAATGAATGCAACAATTGAGATCCACATGAAAATTTGAAAACAATAAACAATAAGTGAAGTGTTTATGGGAGAGACCAACAGTCGTGAAATGTAACTCAATTAGTGTACTTTTCATGCTACTCCACGACATTTAGCTTCAGTTACTTTTTGCACAAAAAATACCAAGAGTTTATAAATTATGTTTTGTGAAAAATAAGTACAACTGAAACCATTAATTAGTTATTCAACTGACAAATGTATTTGTAGCAATTTTGATCCTTTTTCATGTTTTAAGCTTCTCAAATGTGAAGATTTGCTCTTTTTCCTTTTGATCATAGCACACTTTAATAATTATTTAATAATAATAATTAATACATGAATTTTAATGTATTTTAAATTATTCTGAGGTGAGAAAAACTAATTAATGTAGACTAATGTAGGTTCTTGGTATTGTATGTGCACAACTGGTGGTACGTGAGCTCCCTCTAGTGGTACAGAGAGGAAAATGTTTTTTAAAAATGAAATAAAAAAATGTAAATACATATTATACTATTAAAATACTACAAGATTTCAGATTATAATAGCCAACTTAAACTTAACTCCTAATTAAAACATGATGGTAAGATAACAAGTGAAATGAATGAATGCAGTCGAGGCTCCAAACAGGAACTACTGGGAAGAGAAGTTTGGACCAGGAGGATCAGCTCTGGTTCTCGAACCAGTTCCTTGAACTGTCTGTAGCTGAATAGGGTCGGCCTATGTTGTAATGTAACTACGGTCATAATGGTGCTACTGGGAGAATATACTTCAATACTTCGGCCGGTTTGATCATGAAACTGGTACAAAATTAGATTCTATGTAGTTTAAAAATATCTTTAGAGGCTTGGAGAATCCTGCAGAAACCCATCTACAACTATCACTGGATCAACAAGTCCATTTATTGATATTACGTGTGTGTGTGTGTCCAGGTGCCTACGAGAACAGGAGTGTGTTTGAGACTCTGGACATCGGATGGCAGCTCATGAGGATCTTCCCCAAAGAGATGCTGAAGAGGATCCCTCAGAGCACCTTAGCTGAGTTTTACCCCCGAGAAGCCAAACATTAACCAAACACACTCATCCGTGTCCCTACCAGCCGCTTCCATCTGTTTCAGTGAACCCTCACTGCACACATGCTGTAAAGTGTTGTGCCGTCACATACGACGTGATGCTGTAACCGTCCTGACACTCGTGACATTCATGTGGCCTTGCCAACACGCCATTCCTGCTTAACCGACCAGAAACACAGGGAGGAAAACTCTCAGACATGCACAGATGTGTTTACAGTGTGAATGTAGAGGAAGGGAGTAATGTGTCTGTGTGGGTGATTAAGATGATGATGATACTTTGATTATTGTGTCATGCCTATAATTATCCAACGATACAACTCAAAGTCCAAAAATAAAGAAAAAAATCTATATAACTTCCACAGAGCAAATGGCTAAATTCAGAGAAGTCACAGTAAACACCTTCTTGCCTTCTTTTCCACGCTTCAGAGATAAGATTAGCAATGTTACAGGGAAAGGTCGACATTTTGGGAAATATGCTTATTATACCTCTGTAAAAGTCCCGCCTCCTTTTTTGCTCAGTGCTCCAATCACGGTTGAGCAAGCCTCAGTCAACTTCCTCCTTTCCTGCACTTAGATATGCTATATGCTAAGCTAATCTATGCTGAAAAGACAACCACATTTTGAAGATGGTTAAAAGAAAAAAGTGAAATATATATAGTCACATCTTAATTAGCTATTATTAGCTAATGTTAGCAAAACACAAGCCAACTAATCTACATCAGTTGTTAGTAGTTATATAGCTAGTTACACCTGAAAGCTAATGTTAGCAAAATGTTAGTTAACCAGCTAATTTACATCAGTTATTAGTCATTAGTTTTTGCTGACATTGAAAGATTTTTCTAATTTTTCTAAGCTTTTCTTCAAAATGAGTAAAAAAATATGTTGATGGAAACACGGCTGGTGTTAACGGCACAGTGACATCACAGAGTCCTGGAGTACACCTGTGTGTCACTGCAGCAAAATGAGCACTTTCACCACTGGAGGGCAGTAAACAAGCCTTTCAGGGGATGTTCACTTACTCTTTAACTTTGTTTATTTTCCTTCAAACCTGGAGAAAAGATTTATTTTATCAGAAACTATTCAGAGATATAAAACATATCAGTCTCGTGAAGCTCATGGAAAACTCAAAAACCCTCCAAATAAACCCCCTGCTGTTTGTTCTTTACAGGAAAGAATAAAGCTTTATCTGTCTAAACCTACTGCAGCTAATTTTTTAAAAACAGATTCACCCGAGTGAACTTAAAAGCTTGATGACAGGCGCGTGTGCTCATTAAAATGTTTTCTTTTGGCGGTCAGCGCACATTTCCTGTCCTTGTACACGCCATATGATTGTGACAGACTGTCATGTACTGCCTCAAGGTACAAGGCCTTGTTTGGAAGAATGGGATTTTTGCACTTGACACTAGCTTTGATACTTTTTAAGAAAGCCATGTCTGTAAAGGGAGAGCGAGGAGAGGGAATTACATTAACGAAGATGATGTTTGAGGAAGCTGTGTGGTTCGTCCATTCATTAATGTTTGATGTTGCTGTTCTTTCTTTACATTCTTTTATTCTAACGCTAAAATTGAAGTGATGATTCACGTTTACTGTGAATGTGTTTAGGTTCTCTACTTTCAGCCTTGAAATGTCTTTAAATGATGTGTTTCTGTTTCCGCAGTGTGTGCACTGGATGTATTAATGACGTATTAATGCTTGCATGCATTGTTGTTGAATGTTTCCTGTTGGTGCCTCAAATATTACATGAAATAAAAGCTGCTGCCTCTCATTTAATATCACGTTTATGTGTCTGCTTCAAAAATACCATATAAATGTTATTTATTGGGAAAGATATATTTCATATTTATTCATGAAATACAGAACCATAAAAAGGCTTATCTCAATTAATACATCACTGTCTCTAAATATTTCTGGCCTAGCTTTAGCTGACCTTTCCTTAGCTTCCTTAGTTCCTTACTTCCTCCTTTCCTGTACTTAGATATGCTATATCTAATCTATGTTGAAAAGGCATTTTGAAGATGGTTAAAAGATAAACATATATATATATATATATATATATATATATATATTCCTATCTTAAAAAATGTTTCTGCTAAAAATCTTGGTTTGCATTTTCTTTTCTGAGGTCACGTCCAAAAATCCAAAGTAATCAAGTTACGTTACTTTAATATTATGATATTTACTGACTACCTTTTGTGCAGGTAACTAGTAATTGTATGAGGTTACATTTTTAAAGCAACTCTTCCAACCCTGCTAGCTAGTTATCGTTTTGCTCTGCACCAAAACACAAGGGGTCAATTCTCAGTTCAACTAATTTGCTGATTGAGTAAAAACTGCTTAAATACATCATATTAATCCATTCAGGTCAAACAGAGTCAGGGTGCTGATATTGTGCAACTATAATTACAATCACTAGTAACACTTGTGTTTACCTTATTTCATGTCAAAATGGCTGGTGTGAAAAAGGTCTATAGTACAAACTACATCATCTACTGGCAAATGTAATAAATTCTTTCTTTATTATTTAATATTTTGAAGAAAGAACCAAATATGATGTCAAAGGTTTCAAAGGAATTGACTGGACAAATATATGAAACTTAACAAAATATTTATTTTAATTAGATTTATATGTCCAATCATAAATAGATAGATACAGTAACTACAGAGTTACTGGATTGTAATTCAGAGTGACCAGGTTTTTAATAATTATAGTTCTACTTAGTATGTATACTTAAAACCTGCAGGTGAATCACAGAATGAGATTTCAGCAGCAGGTTTAAATCTCTCAGACTCACCTTATATCCAAAGAATAAAGCCGAGGCGGTGCAGTTCTGCAGATGGCCACAGAGAGGAGCTGTTGGCCTGTGCGAGTTTACGAGTGGACTCTGTGGTCCAACAATAAAATCAGAGGTGAAGGAATTTCACTCCATATTCAGTCGAAATGACTCACTGTCTTTTTCAAACGTAGCAGCAGGTCACGCATGAAAGTTCAACTTAAAGATGAAGTCAAAGGCGGTTAAGTGCCAGAAGCGTCTGATACAGAGTGCTGTTTTTATTTCAGAAGAGCTTTATGAAAGATGAAAGCTACACTGCAGCTAAACCCAAACACTGGTCCAAACTCTGTGTGAACCACAACGACAGAAAGCTGCTTCTAGACTGGATCTGGTTTCTGCTTGTTACTGTTCAAACTGCAAAACGTCAATGAGACCTTTAAGCCTCAAATCAAATCGAGCTGAAACATTTAATTCTGTAGAAAATATAGAAAAGAAAATAAGTTTTAATAAAAAGAGTGATCTTATAAGTGCACTGTTGATTCTTAATGTAGATCAGTATTATCAGTCAGAAGGTTAGGGTTAGGTCAGACGAACAAACATGAAATGCTTCTTTATAAAAAGGTCACTAACCAATAATATTGACAATGATACACTACTAAAGTGTACGAGTACAGTAACTAGTTACTGCTACGATCCAGAATCAAGTTCCTTGTAGGGGGGGGGGGTTAACTCAAATAAAAATAAAAATGACACTTGACTGACTAAAACAATATTGTGTAAGGAAAATAAAAATATTTGTTAATTTGGTCAGATTAGTCAACACTACAAGCATGTGAAGGCAGTGGTGCATATGTTTACTGAGACTGTGAGTCAGTGTGTTTGTACTGTAATATGTATTCTAGCAAATATAATAAATACTGAAACTAATGAAACTTAAAAACAATATAAACTAAATTGGAATGAGTAATGAAAACTAGGGACCAATAAAAACTCTGTCCCAGAGCAGCTGTGTGAACTGACAGTAACAGGATCAGTGTAGTTCACTGTTAACTGGAATAACCTCCTCTGGACCTGATCCAGAATCTGTGTCAGCAGTCCCTGTTCTCCATCTTCATCTCCTCCCACTATAGTGTGTCTGTACAGTCTGTTCTCTAAAGATTTCTAAGGAAAATACAACTTCTGTCTACCTGTCTGTGTGCCGGGTGGGGGGGTAAAATGTCATTTTGGTCCAACGGGTCTTCGCAGATCCGTCAGGTGGCATTTTAAGAGGGTCAGCAGAGACTGAGTTGTGACATAACACTGTTATCTTCAGTTTTTATTTAGCTTGTTATTCTTTTATTTCTTCTTGTCTATTTAATTCATATAATAGTAACAATAATAATATTATTACTAATTTGTTTTAGCAAAGTCTAATAACTTCCAGAGACAGTTAATAAAGATTTGAGTCCTTTTGACAGTAATACTAAGTTGCAGAGGACAGAGAAGAGGTCAGTGCTGTAGATACAGGGCAGAGGTCTGTACTGTCTGATTAATATAATAGTATCAATAATGATATTAATATTAACTTTATTTCCTTATTTCGCCTATTTTATAAGGCGTGGCCTGCTGCACCTAATGGGCCAAATTTGGAAATGTTGTCCATAAAGCCACAGTGTACGTGTGTGTGTGTGTGTAACATTTCATACGATTCTACCAACAGTGGTCGCTACAGTAACAACATATATGTTTTTAATAAGATAAAACTTGGTACACAGCTTATCAGCATGTGCACAACATATTTTGGGTGGTATCTCCAGACATGAATCACTAATACTTCTTGCTTGGACTCCTTCAGAATCCGGGCTGGTGAGCAGCGTCAGCAATCGCAAATATTCTAGTTTGATGTTAAAACTTCTTTTAAACATATTTTACAAACTAAGATTTCTTCCATTTTTTCCTGGTAGAAGTTTTTGTGGGAGTTTTTAACCTGAATCGAGGCTCTAAGGACAGAAGGTGGACAGATTGTAAAATCCTCAGAGGAAAACTGTAATTTGGGGTTTTTGAATAAAGTTTAGTTTGACTATTTTGATGAGACTGCAGATGTCATCCAGTGTATTAAAGATCAGATCCAGGTCTCTGGTTCCTGGTTTTCTCTACTCCACTTGTTCCCTTGTCTCCTCCTCTCTCCTCTCCTCCCCTGTCCTCCCATCCTCTCTCCTCCTTTCCTCCTGTTGACATGAATGTGAATGGACTACTGTGAGTCTGTGATGTTGATGGATGTTGGCAGGTATGTGGCATCTCTGTCTCTCTACACTGCTTTGATTGCTCACAGGGACTGGTCCTCTGTGTCACTCTATGTGTGTGTGTGTGTGTGTGTGTGTGTGTGTGTGTGTGTGGACACTGCAGGAAGCTGTCTGTGGCTGTGTGCAGCAGTCAGTGTTAAAGGTTTCAACTGCAAGTCACTAACTTTCTGTGTGATAGAATTAATGTATTCATGTATTAATTAATGTATTAATATATGCATTCATGTAAAGGTGTCTAATGCACCACATTGGTATATTTTATACATGAGTCAGACTATAATGTAACGACACATCTGATTAATGACTCAACACAGTGCTTTAACACTGCAGCCTGTGAGGACTACATTAGAGCTGTCGCCTTTTCAAAAAATCAAGTTGGAACGAAGTCGAGCCAACAATTTATTCACTCAAACAAACACATGCTGACTGGTCACGATGTGTTGGTATTTGTGTTTTATTATATGACTAACATAACAATATAATGTGTGTTAATACAATATTTATTCATCCAGAACGTGCAGTCACTTTTAAACACTGTTAAAAAAGGCAAGTTTCCATATGACAGGCTTATTGTTGTCTAACAAGCTGATTATTCAGCATTATATTATTTATAAATATATATATTATGTATTAGGATGAAAAATTAAGTTTTAATTCATGTTGTTAAATCTGATTCCAGAGCAATAAATCAAATATCAGCTGGTTTAATGATCGTTTGTGAAGAATAGAATATCAATAATTGAACAACCTGCAGCATCGTACCAATAAATTACACAACAGCTCGTACATTTGTTCACGCTAGAAACACAATAATAATAATTAAGTTAAGTAAACAGTAAAATAGATTAGAGATTAACGGCGAATTAAACTTTTCTCCAACGGTCTTTAAGTCAGATATCTGTGGTGGACATGGTGACGTCAGGTCACATGACCTCCTTAATCAGTCCCTCCAGGAAGTTTGCGATCGCAACAATTCAACCAATCCCTGTGAATTCTGGGTAATCTTGCAATTTTCTCCGATAACTTCAACACTTCGATCATAGTTTCCTGTGCAAAATGTTGAGCCATACGTCACCAAACTACAACCTATTTTATGTGAATGTTAAATCTAATTTAATGCATTCAACTGTGAATTCAGACTGACTGCAGTGATACCTCATTTCCAGTAGCATCCACTGCATATTTCCTTTGTGTATCTGTTTGATAAATGTTTCTGGCTGGGGGTCAGGAACACTATGCTTTCTGCCAGGAGTGCATTATTTATTCTTGTTTATTTCCCTGTGCACGTGTGCAGGGACAAAGCCAACATACATGGATGGTTTTTTCTGTGTGCATTCATATTGATTTTCAGCAAAAGAGAGCCAAGGAACCTTTTAATTAGACTCAAACTATCTCATCCATTTTGTAATTTAGTATCACTCTTAATTATCTGTGGCATTATCATTCTAGTAGAGCTGTGTGTGTGTGTGTGTGTGTGTGTGTGTGTGTGTGAGTGTGTGTGTGTGTGTGTGTCAATAAGCAGTCTAAAGGGTAGATAAACACACGCTTCCTGCACAGAGCTAGAATTATTCATGAGCTGTCACAGTGTATTCCCAACCACACAACACACAAATAATTGAAATAACGATGTTAAAATACTCATGCATGCGCGCGCACACACACACACACACACACACACACACACACACACACACACACACACACAGTGTAGTTGGTA